GTTCCAATGATTCATCCCTTTCCTTGGGAAATTTGATCCACCCCTACCCAGCACTTTTTAATCCATTTTTAGAAGAAATATATAGACTAATATATAGACTATCTTTTCAGAAAAGTGGGGAGGTAATTACCCCCCCATACCACCTCTTGGCACTGCCAATGAGAATAAGCATGACTTTCAAAGCCTAAAAAATTCCTAAAGTAAATTTACCTATCCTTTGCAAAAACCTCTTAAGAAAAAGGCTAGTCTGCATAGTATTTCAGTTCTCTGCAAGATCTCTCATTTTCAAGCATGTTTAACCTGTGCAAATCAATTATCAAATGGTTTGTTAAAAAAGGTTTTCGTAGACTGTAGTAAGTTTGCTGTGCAAGTTCAAAAGTTTGCATGCTGCACTACACTAACCTTGCCTGTGCATCTGTCAGAATCTGCAGAAATAAGGTCACTATGCGTTTTTGTTACATCTGGTAAAACTGCTTGAAACCACTGTATGATAGGCAAGATCTTGTCAAGATCTGAGATGCTTTGCAGACTGGCCTTCTTCTTGAGAAGTTTTTCCAAAAAATAGATAAATATTATTTGGGAATTTTTCAGATTCTGAGATAATAGTAAATGATTAAAACCATATTTAAAATAGGGGGTGCTCCCTCCTCGATTGGTTTACCTATTGAGAGAGCTCCACCTTAAGAAATCCCCCAAAACATTTATGTATGATTTATTGTATATCATTTTATGTTTATGTATTTTGTGGTCATTATATGTAACTAGGGTTTTCAGCTACTAAGGATTGTATTTAGAGGAATTTTAAAATATATGAACTGAACTTTAGCTCTTCCGTCATTGCTAATTAACTTTCAGCCCTCATAGACTCATAGATCCATCTTTTATCAGGCCTCTCCAGGAAAAAACAAGGCGGGCTACAAAATGCCCCTGCCAGTTTGGCTGCTTGGGCTATTTAGCCCTTGCAGAACTGTTGTTCATTTTTTTATACCTGAGTATTTACAAAAGCAATAAAATACATTACTTTGCCAATTTTTTAATTATTATTCACCTTAAGAAGGCATTTTGTGTGTATTACTACCTTTAAATTTTGTTTTACCACTCCTTAAAAACGAGACAAAATGTGTTAGGTTTTGCTGGGCCAAATGTGGCTTTTTGGGAATGTCTAGTTTATATGTCGTGACTTGAAAAGAAATGGTTTCTTATTTGACAGCATGGTGTAATGTTTCTCACTTTAATTATTTGTAGCATTGTTTACGCTTGTATGTTATTCCTTTCGTGCAAACACATTTCCTATTCCATTACAAGTTTTAGCAGACAATTGTTAACATGTGCTGTATAAGGAAATGGAAATCTACTATTTATAACGCCACTTGATAAACTTATGATGTGTAAGACCTCTTTCTCTTTGTTTCCTAACACCCTGCTATTTAGCAGTAAGTAGTACAAACATTTGGAAGCTAAACTAAGGGGATTAAAGGAGAATATTGGTTTGTAAAACTGAGCAAGCAGAAGAAAGCCCTTGCAAATTTATTTTGCGTAGGCGCCAGCTATAGCCCGCGTCTCTGGGAAAGGCCTGTTTTATCTGATAGTGGAAAGTCTTTCCAGGGCAATCTTAAACACCTGTCTCTCCACAAGACTTTTAAATACTAACCATGTTAATATTTAAGACTCTAATACCAATTTTAAATTTTGAGACAGGAAGAATCTCGAAATAATCCCAGATTTAGGTTTCTTATCAACAATGTTATAATGATGTAACTAACTGATAAGGCTAAACATAATCATCTCAGTGAGGAAATTCCAAATAGGTTCATATGAATATTTTAGAACAAATTCCCTTCTGCTCTGCTAATCTTATGTGACCTGCAGCAGTTATGAAAATATTTTACATTAATATTTAATATTAATAGGTCAAAATTTTAATATTCACGTACAATGATCAAAGTTGTCACATAATGATCTGTTTTAATTAACATTTTATATATGTGCAGACAGATGCCTAATAGCAACAAGCTCTAACTCACTTTTTGCTATTTTTAAAGTTCACAATTTGATAGGGGTTGAAATTTCTTTTATGAAATTTTACATACAAGTTGCACAATTTTAGAATGAAGATCACTTTACTTTATAAATGCTCAGATTCTTTCAACCATCAATCTCTAATAAACATCACTTTGTAGAACAACTGTTCTCTAATAAGCACATGCTTAAATGAAAATTTGTTATGAGAGAAACAAAAAGTTAACAAAGACTGCATATTTGCTAGGCAGTGCAACAAACAGATGGATATAAGATAAATTTTATTGTTATAGGAATTGAATTTTAATTTTACAGCAAAATTAAGTTGATTACCTTACCAAAGGTTAATGAGATCAGACAGTATTGTTATAAATCTTGCCATGAAAATTTTGAAAATTTTCAATTCTTTAATTGAATAAGGGGCCATTCAAAAAAGAACATTGTACTAAAAAATTTCTTCAATTTTGACCCCTACTTGCCATGCTAATGATTCTCTTAACCTTACCTTTTCAATCTGCATCTTTCTCTTGAAAGCTGTTTGAGTTATATGAGGACAAATGCTCCCTTCCTCTTACAATTTAGTCACACTTTTGTCACATTCTCTAGACCCTAGACTTCTAAAGGTGCCTTGAATCATTTTTAAATGACCCTGAAGTCACAGTTTTGTAAAAGAATTTTGTTTCTTTTTAGGTTATGGGTTTGGTTTGCATGATCATGGGTATTGTATGCCACACGAAATACTACTACCAATTTAAATATATTGGAGAAGGATATGTGAATGTTGTAACAGTATTCATTGTCTCTGGAATCAGTATGATTATAGCTGGAGCTTGTGGGACCTTCAGTATTGTGAAAAAATCCTATTGTGCCTTGGTGTTCTGCCTGATCATACTTGCTGTACTTCTCATCTTTCACTTTGTCCTTGGAGGATTTGCCTTTGCATACAGGAGTAGGGTAATAGAACTGTTTTTTATGTTGACTTATCGAAAACCATGATGAATTACAAATCATTATTTTAAGAATGTAGTAGCAAACCCCCTCCTGCCAGCACATTTTTTGTCTGAAAATGTTGGAATAGGAATTTATGAAGCAATTTTATTCACTCTCTCTGAAAATGAATTTGAACTGTGCCCTTGGTTTTTTATTAGCCTCCAGAGATGTGAATTTTAAAGTTTCTCATGGATAGGTTTTTGCAGTTCAATTTGCATGCATGTTTTTTATTTATAAGTTGCATCCCTCAGAGCTTTTAATATGAGAGAGAATTTTGGTCTGTTTAGATTGAAAAATTTTGTTACAGAGTTATATTTTTGGTAAGGCTCTAGAGTTTTTCTATTTCTATGTTACAGACTGACCACATGACAGAGAAAGCTTTGATAAGAGGCTATCATAAGTACTTTAGAGACATGGGCTCTCAAGAATTTATGGACTGGTCACAAAAAAAGGTTATTTTTTATGAATTTTATATTGAAATGTACAATTAATACATTAAATTAAACAAAAGCAATATAGGGGAAAAACAAGGCCTGATGTAATATCAGATGACTGATGCAAACCCTAATGTTAAGCCGAATATTTATATCAACAGTCAGTAGGTGCACTGAATCTCACAACAACTTTCAGCCATAAGTTCTGAAACTTTGTTTTGAAACTAGGTTTTACAAATGAAAATTTGCAAAGATGGGTGCTATCAGATTTCAAAAATGTGGAATCAATTATCCACCATAACTTGATATTGCAGAATAAATCAAGTCCAATAACCAACTGGGGGCAAGCTGTTTGTTTTTCAATGCAGCCATTTGTCCGTCCCTTGTCTTATGTTTCAAGTTTTAAATTTTTCTGCTTTCTAGTTTGAAAATTGTTGTGAGTCTGGAGTGACACTGTATGTTGCAAGGTTTGTCACGAAAAGCCTACCTAGATATAAAGGGTGTAGTTTAATGTTAAAGACAATACAAACATGTGTCTGAAAGAAAACTTGTGTTGATAAATGTTTATTGTAACTTGTAGCTTTTTTGTATATTGATAACTATCTTGTTTTTTTATTGCTACTTGCTTCTTCTAGCCAGCAGTTGCTCATTCCTTAGTCATTTTACTAAGAATTGGTTACTTAAGGTTAGCACTGACAAGTCAAATAAATTTATATAAGACAAAAATAAACCTCAACATGCATCAGTACATAATTATAAGTTATGAGTTATAGATAATCATTTCTTTCGACATGTGGTTGTAGTTCAAATGCTGTGGGTTCACTGGCCCTAACGATTATGGAGCTGGCAACAAGACACATTCCAGTACCAAATCCCCACTCACAACAACTGATAAGAAAACAACTACTACTCCAATGCCTGCAGGTGTTCAGACAACAACAGTAGGCAATACTATCACTACTGCTCAAGTCACCAATGCTACAACTGTTGTAACTACCACAGCAAGTCAAGTAACTACCACTAATTTTATCAACTCTTCTCCAACTAAAAATTCTACTCTGCCACCAACAACCAGTACTAAACCGCCCACTACCACTACCAAGCCTTCAACTACAACAACTAAGCCCCCAACTACCACAACAGAACCCCCCACTACCACTACTAAGCCCCCCACTACCACAACAGAACCCCCCACTACCACTACTAAGTCCCCCACTACCACAACAGAACCTCCCACTACCACTACTAAGCCCCCAACTACCACAACAGAACCCCCCACTACCACAACTAAGCCCCCAACTACCACAACAGAACCTCCCACTACCACTACTAAGCCCCCCACTACCACAACAAAACCCCCCACTACCACTACTAAGCCCCCCACTACCACAACAGAACCCCCCACTACCACTACTGAGCCCCCCACTACCACAACAAAACCCCCCACTACCACTACTAAGTCCCCCACTACCACAACCAAGCCCCCCACCACCACAACAAAACCCCCCACTACCAACCCCCACACTACCACTACTAAGCCCCCCACTACCACAACAAAACCCCCACTACCACTACTAAGCCCCCACTACCACAACAGAACCCCCCACTACCACTACTAAGCCCCCCACTACCACAACAGAACCCCCCACTACCACTACTAAGCCCCCCACTACCACAACAAACCCCCCACTACCACTACCAAGCCCCCCACTACCACAACAGAACCCCCCACTACCACAACAGAACCTCCCACTACCACTACTAAGCCCCCCACTACCACAACTAAAGCCCCCACTACCACTTCTAAGCCATCTACTACCACAACCAAACCTCCAACTACTACCACTCAACCTCCAGCCACAACACAAACTACCACAACTCCTAAAGCAACTACAACAATGACAAAGAATATAGTAAATGCAGCTGGAGACAGTTTCAACTTCAAGTCCCAAGGTGAATTGCCGGAAAGCTGTTGTCAAGAAACAAAGCTTGCTGTGACCTGCATTAATCGCCCATATGACATTTACAAGAGAGTGAGTAATGTGCTTAGCCTTTCTTTATTAAAATATCATGTTCATAATGGACAGGCATATTTTGATGGTTTCCCTAAAGTCCAGACAAAGATTAATGCTTTGCTGCAATTTTTTGAATTTCTTTTTCACTACAAATGACCAGTTTTTTGTAGAATGGCGAAAACCTCTGCCTGTGCATGCCTAATTTGCCAAGCAACAAGATGCAGATCAACGGGCAGATTAAGGGCCTTCATGCTGGTAGCTGCATGCCTTAAAATCTAATTTCCATCTAAACACTGACAGAATCCTTCCATTTACATCACATCTTTACATCAAATCAACTTAAAGGTGGAAAATACTCACAGATGCAGCTCTTGCAAAAAAAATTTCCTTCTCTAATGGAGGCAAACACATTTTCAAGTTTCTGGGCCTTTGTCAAATAGGTTCTTGAAACTTAAAGTTGTAGCTCTGTGGTGTTTACTACTAGGTTTTGTCTAGCTTTATCTGTCAATTTTGTTAAAAAATGTTAGATAATCCAGCTATTTGCATCATCATCACACTTTCAAGGATAAGAATAACCTTATTTCAATTTTAACCAATTTTACATGGTCTGTTAATTGGATGGATTGAAATGTATTTTGATATTCTTCTTTCAGGGATGTGGTGAGAAATTTAGCGGCTTCTTAAAGAAAATAATGTGTGCTATTGGCTCTATTGCCTTTGTCATGATATTCTTTGATGTAAGTTGAATAACCTTTTTCAAAGTAGATTGTTGTAAATTGAATCAAAGTCCTTAACCATGAACAAAGATAGAAAAATCCATGAATAATGTTGAGACAGACATCTTTTATTGCCGATTGGTGTGAATAAAGACTAAAAAATGCTGGAAAATTCTTCAACTCCTTCTGCTTTGTAGTAGCAATTCAGTGTGTAGTAATAATAATGATTTTCCGTACATATACATATGAAGACATGTTTTCAACTAAAGTTAAAAATTAATTAATTTTACGTACATATTCTAGTATAACATCACAATCTAGCTACTGTTTTAATAAAATTAAACGAAAAACTTTAGTTTATGATACTGTGATAGATGTTGATATTATTTTGTATGATGTTCCTCGTCAGAATAACTTTGTCCTCTTTTCAGTTACTTCACTTGATCACAGCTGCCCTTTGTTCCAAAATGATAAAGGAGGAAGCTACATACACAAAACTCTAGTGACAAAGCTCGCTATTGATCTGTTCAACTAATTATCTACATCAAGGCTCTGGATCTAGCATTTATGCAAATATGTTCCTGGTTCCTTTGCTATGAAAATAAAGTTATTCGATAACTATATATTCAGCACCTTGATGTACTGAATTTAATTTTGGTGTTATCTAAGTGGCAATTCATATATCCATTAAACAAAGCAATAGCATTGACAATTTTATGGATTAAAGAAACACAGTGTATTTGAAAGTCAGGTGCAAAATGGAGGGAAGGCTGTCGGAAAGATTTTTCTCACTTAAATTTGAAATCTGATATGGTATTGTTTAATCTGAAAACCTTGACTTATTTAGCCTGAATCTAATCACATCCATGGATAAACATGAATTGATCTGTAGCAGTTTTGTTCTGCCTATTTTTCATATTCAATTAAATAAGTGGCAAACCTTTGCTATCAGATAAGTTGGACCTTACGTTAAGTTGGACATGTCAATTAATATATATTTAGCTGATAACTATTGTTTTATTTTATACATTCATATTTCACTTTACAATTCTTAACAGCTTATAAAACAAGTTTGAAGCGATTTTAGTAGACAGTTCACTAGCTTGATATTAGCACAGGGCTTATAATTCAGTTGTTGTACCAAGGAGCAGCCTGCTGGATCAGATATGCTCCATATTTTGATTTGAAGCAATATTTGATGTGATGTCCCGAAAATGTGCTTGCTATTGTTTTCCTGACGTTTATAAAATGTGTGGTATTGTTGAGCCACTAGTTATTTGTTCGACCAACAGCATGTCGTTAAATAAACATTTAGCTGATAACTATTGTTTTATTTTATACATTTCATATTTCACTTTTCAGTTTTTAACAGTTTATGAAACAAGTTTGAAGCAATTTTAGTAGACAGTTCACTAGTTTTATATTAGCACTAATGAATGCTTGTATTTTTGCCTAGTCATCATTCAACATATTTATATGTTTTGTAGCTTATTGTTAGCATTTATTTAAATTAAAGTATTTAAAAGCTTAAACATCTATACAAATTTGTAGTAGAATTAAAATGAATGAATGCTATTGCTTAATTATTGATGTCTTGTTTGGAATACTCAGTTTGTTTCAATCAACGTTGATATATTTCCCTAGTCCACCACACACCGGATATTCTAAAGTATTTGTCGCTCATTAATTGTGTTGTTTGTATCGATTTTTGGGCATTACAATGTATTGCTTTGTTTTAATGATTTAAAAAATTACCAAATCATGACCAGATATAAGTAACGTACAGTTAACCTGTTCCGAAAAAACATTGTAAGCAATCAGTCTTGTCCTCAAAGCTCGATTTATAGAGCAATCATTTGCCCTGGCAACAAAATTCTTCTAATGGATGATCTGCCACTGTCACCGTTCTAGCGGGGACCAGAGCGGGGACGTAGCATGTCCAAAAGTTCTTAAATGCATTGTTCGCACACTGCGGCAGCAAGAGCAGGAAATAGTTCATTCATTAGAAGATGTATGCCTCAACAAGGAAACGGCTATTCAAAAACAACATCTCTGAATCCTTTGATATTAATTATATTTATCCCAAAATTTCAATATATATAGTCAACGAGGTAGTCGTCGTCAACGTTTACGTGTTCTTGCATCATAGTGTTCGCTATATTCAAGGCATCAAAGTTCCGTATGAGCTTTTTCTGTAGAGTTGCCTACAAACCGCTTTGTGGCACTGAATGGGGGTCAGTTAATTGCTTTGCAGCTGACTGAGAGATCCTCCCCCTTGTAGAATGTCGACAATAAACCTGGTCTGCCAATACCAGTAGACCAAAACGACTCCTCCATGCTACATTTCCCTGATGCATAATACGTTAATGTGATTCTAGTCCTGCATGTTGCATTTAAGATTACAGATTATTCAGTATCGTGGTGTAGTGGACAGGCCGCTATCTTTTTTCTGTTTTTGCTCTTCTTTTTTCAAGGCATCCATTTTAAATGTCCTTCCTCCTGGAGCTGCTACACATTTTACACCCTTCCACATTTGAGCTATCATCAATATAGTCTTTTAGTCGTTTGTTCTTTGCCTATGACTCTGGTCATCGCCTTTAAGTCCAGTACACCTTTTCTTTGTCATTCCTCTAAAACATTTAGAAATAGAATTGAGAATAAGATCTTTAAGGAAAAATGGTCACTAAATGTTTTTATTCACATGCTATAGAACCATTCTCTGATTCCTTCCTAATTTTGAAACGATTTCATGCCGTTCAGAAAACAGCAAACAAGTTTTATCCACATAAGAATTAACACACACCAACGAAGAGCCGTCGCTAGATATTGCTCCCAAGTGGGTCCCATCTGCCGATAAAGTGGATAAGTCATTTTTCAAAAAAGGACCAGGAGAGCACAAAGAAATGGATGCTACCAAGGATATAATTTCGGATTTTATGCTACCGTTTGAGGGTTTTCGTCCAGAATTCTACCATTTGAGGGAAATTCCTTAAAAGTTTGGCATTGGCTCTCTTCGTCCCTGACCGGACCCCGTGTCAGGCCATAATGGGAGTACCCCCCCCCCAGGTGTCATGGTGACTCGTTAGAATAAAATTTTCCACCAATATCTCCGATTCATTTTAAAACATCTCGGAGGGGTACCTTAACATGTTTGAAGGTACGGGGATGTGCCATTATTTTGGGGTACTTTTTTCTGAAAAGTGCGGAATTATCGGTACTAATTTTTTAAATTTGTGCGGAACTATGCGTACCATTTTAAGAAACATGCAGAATTATGGGTTCCATTTTGTGGAAATATTGCAAAATTATTTGGAGGGAGATATAGCATTGACGAATGTCCAGTTAGAAATAAAAGTATGAATTATGTGCAATATAGAGATTTTGGGGCATAGGACAAGCAAAATCTGGTTAATGGTTTTTATGTGCTTTAAAAATTTTATTTGCTCTGCAGAAAAATGGGTACAGTTTCCATCATGTCTGCAGAATTATGGGTCACATTTTTTCAGACATTTGCGAAATTGTGGGTCCAAAATTATAACCAAAATGACACGTCCCCGTCCAAAACTAGGCAAAGTTTATCCCACCCAACCCCCCCCCCCCGCCCCGAGTAAAACATTTTCAACACTTTTGACGTAGAGTTGCCTACTGAAGTAGAGTTGAATTGAATGATATCGAAACGTTGGTTGTATTGAAGTACGAGATCAACTCTACCCCCCTCCCAGTGAAAAGTGCATAATTTATGCAAGGTTAATAAGTTATGGTCTATAATTATGAAAGTTCAAAGTCCTTCAATGTCTGACCCTTCTTGTTCGTAAATGAACCTTGTAATCTTATTTGTGTAATACCCAAACACGCAAAGAAATGAGCACGATAATAACATAGAAATTTCTATGGAAAATAAGCACCACATGAATGAAATATTTCCTTTCTGAGTTGAATGGAATAATTCTTTTGTCTGAGGTTTGAGGAATCTAGGATTCAACTTCAACCAGTATGGCAATGAAAACATTGTATAAACCAGCAATTTTGTTATGCTTACATTATATTGATCACTATGCTTAATTTTATATCTAGATCAGTTATCAAGTCATTCTCATTTCTGCAATGTAAACAGACCCCACCGTATGCGAACTCACATATCCAAGGCTGTGATATGATTCTTGTGAATGTTGGCGTGGAGTGCATGAAAACAGAAAATGGGCCAACCTGATTTAGGATTTAAAACAGGATAGAAAACGAAGAAGGTCATTCTAAAACTACATAATTCTGGCGTCCTTTTTTCCTTTGCTGATCAATTTTTTATCTTACATCAACTCCCTTTTCACTACATTTCACAATGAACCGATCTTTCTTCTCCGTTCAGGACAATTGCTCGTGAATTTAAACTTAATCAAAATGTCACATGCCTTAGCCAACCAATAGTTCCTGATTTGGCTTGAAGAAAGTAAACACTTATCATTTTGTGGAACACCTTTACGAATCCTTTTGGCAAACAGAAATTTTTTCACATTTGCTGTGGAGGCGGTGCATTTTAAGTAGAAGCGTTAATTGATAGAAGAGAGGTTTATCTTTGAAACTTGATAGAGTATGAAGTTAAAAAAATGGTTTTTCTTCAGTACAATTATAATTTGGAGGACCAATTACAATACAATTATAATTTGAATAACGCGTCTAGTTTTCGCACCTAGCCGCGCTTGTGTACAGACCTCTCCTACGTCATCATAGAGACTGTTATTCACAACTGTAAATCACCAATTTCAGTTTCGAAAGTTTAAGTTCAAAATAAGATATTCTTATATCCTTCCTTGCTTTTTCTGGTAGTTAAAAAAGTAATGATTTTTCTTCAACCTCACTGAATTGTATCCTCACCATTTTTCTGACTATATAAATATCTTCAACCATCTTAGAAGCTGAAGGTTTTCTGCGGCCTAAAAAATTAGCAATGAAATAATAAAATTAGATGAAAAGTAATTGGAGAAAAAATACAACTGGAAAGAGAAGGGCTCAGAATTTCAAGGACATCTTTCAACGCAAATTGGTCTTGCAAATCTCGTTAATATTCCTTCCTTTCCTGCAATCCTCCTTCGATTTATAATTGATGCTTGGGCTGTGATGGTTATGCTGAATACATGAATGAGTCAAAACTTACATCGAAGCAGTTTTGCACATGTAGGACATATGCATCTTTACTTTAAACTTAGGGGCTTGCCCCAGATGCCCTTATGCTAACAATTGAGCTTTGAATAGCTAGCCAGTATTCCAGACCCCTAACATTCATGACGCAGAGGCTATGACTAGCATTCATACACTTCTCACCCCATGGCTATGTTGTTTCTAGAAAATCTCCAATATAGTATTTTTCTGCATATTCATTCGTCTAAGAATACAACCAATAGTTTTTTTAGCTGTTAAGAAAGATGATAAATTGCTTACCTCTTCTGGTATAGAGTCATTTTCTTCTTGAATGTCTAGAAAAAACAATTTGGTTAATCTAATCAATAAAGTCACATTTTCATAATTTTGGTCTTTGATTTTCAGTTTGCGACCTGACCTGTCACTACAAACAATTTTACGTTTTAGTCGTATCATTACATTTCGTTTTCTCCGTTTTGTACAGAATACGATACATTGTAACAATTGTCGCCATCATTATCTGTCCATGACAATGGCATTTATAGACTCCAGAGATAACAACCCAACTCAGGTCTAGCTTGATGTCATCTATCCAGCGACGTTTTCAGTGCTTGACAATAAATACTGACAAAATAATAATTTTGGCCTCACGCCTTTTAGACAGAATAGATAATTCATGGGCTCAATGTTTGTTTTACTTCAAGTTGAGAAGAGCCCCAAAGCGACGATCAAATGTTTGTCCTAAGGGTGATAAAAATACTGAAAGTTGAATTTGTAATGTTAGATTACAATGTCGAAATTATAATGCTTTCAAGACTGTTATTCAACTAAGCTGTTTGTTACAGCAAAATTGGATTTATGCATGTGTTATGAGAACTTCATTAAAGATAAACCACAGTTCAAATCCATAACCACAGAAACAAAAAATTAAAGCTAGAGTGATTTTAAATACTTCCTATTTGATTGTCATTTCTTGGATTCTACGTCATACTTCCACTCAGTGCCGCGTGTTTAGCCAGCGAGGTTTTTCATTATCAAATTCAACTCATTTTCGTCCTTTTTTGTATTTTACTTTTTGACCCGAGGCCCAACATTAACATTTGCTTGGACATTTATTTTCAGTGTTTAGATTCTGAGTGAATGGTATTAAGACGTATTTCAAAATCTTTTAGAAACCCTTGCTCCTTCTGGTATGTAAATAAATTGCTCTGTATTTTTTCTAGGAATACTAAGATCCCTACAGTACCATACCATGTTGCATTGTTTGCTTGCTAGGATCTTTGCTGAAAGTTACCCCCAAAGGCTTTCTGGGTATGATCTTATATGTAATATTATTTTTCATGAACGCTCACCAGTTACAAAACCAGTTGCCCTTAAATCTATCGCTTTTGATTATTGATCGAGCACGGTCCTGTAGACATTAAAGGGTATCAAGTTTAGTTTTTTGAAGGTTGGCCCAAATAACATTAGCATACCGTAGGTGACTTTCGACAGTGGCGTAGTAGTGACTGCCAGTATTTGCATTGCTTATCCCATTTTATAGACGTTCATCGACAATTACTCCTAGAGCTTATGTCTTCGTGTCACGCCTAGCATCAGTGCCACTCAGTTTGAGCGCACTAGAGATTTTCAATGAGTTTGCTTTTCGAAAATGGCCTATTATCGTAACCACAGTCTTTGCAGTGTTAGGATCTACTTGACAAGTGAACTTGCTGGAAAACTGGCACGCCAGCTTTTGAACAAGTACACTTGTCAAGTAAGATATTGTCATTTTTCCTCAATCCACCCCAATCTACACAAGCAAAATAATCTTCTCAAAGAAAAATTGTCAAGGAAAACTTGCTCGTGTTAATGCGGCTTAGAACTATGTTCAAGTTTAATTTTTTGGAATCGATATCTTCATAACAGTAATCAGTCAGTGCTGAATACTAAAGGTGTTGTTGTTGAGTACAGTTTACGAAAAGCTGACTGATTCTTGGTGATTACGTTATTTCCCAGAAGCAAGGCAAATAGCTTTTCGTGAATTGTCATCTCCAGAATCATGAAAAAATTGAAATAACTAAATTTGACCTTTAATTGTTTACATCTTTTGTTAAACTGATTTGAGTATTGAAGGTACTCCTGTATGTTCTTATGTCTGGGAATTCATTGCTAGTTAAAGATGAGTTTAATATCATCGACAAAGACTTTGACACAAGGTCTGCCATATCTTTGACAATAGTTATGGGGGCCTTATCAGTAGACTACCAATAGGATTAAACAGTCAAAAGTATGAACTACCGACAAAAATTCAGAAATCACCTGCAGATCTTTTGCTTATATGGCCACGAACGTATGTTAAAACTGGAGTAACTTCGTCGAAAATTGCCGTCGCAGGTGCAATGCCACACAGGCTGGTGCTGTAGCATTTCACATTAAAGCACTCCTTCCCAAGCATAAGTGCTACGTCACAGCGTCTGTTCCTGCAGCAAGAATTCACGCATGCGTGTTGGTTGCTGACTATGCCAACAGTCTTGAAATCCCCTGCCAAAATCCCCCCACGAAGAGTTGCACCTCGGATCGTCACGCCTCTTCTGCACTTAGTATTTTCTCTTGGAACATTTAATAGCTGGTCTGAAAAGTGACAGTTGGTTATAAGCATTTCATAGGTATAATAGTTACTAGTAGGTCTTACTGATATCCTTGGATATTAATGAAAAATAATCAGATTACGATATTTTCTTGTATCTGGGTTTTAATAGCTGCTCAGAACTCGTGTTTATTCCAATGAGGGAATAGTAACTGGTGGAATGTATTTCATTTGTTTGCTTAAACTAGAGGACATTTCCATAATGTTGCTACGTAAGGGATTAGCTAGACTATGTCATGACACTAGGCACCTTTTGAGTGTCTATTTTAAATTCAATATTTCTGTTACAAGATCTTTGTAACTAATGAGGATTTGTAAATCTTAAATTCTATCGGTGAGTTCAAACTATGGCTTTTACTATCGAATTCAATAGAAGAAATTCAAGGAAATGAGTGCTAAATAAAGGTCAATATGAAGTTGTCATATAAAAAGGAAGGAAGAAACCTTTATTCTAATTTAGGTTTTGCAAAACTATGAGACAAACAAGAGCAGCGGTGTTTCCATCCTTGTTTTAGTTTTATCGCCTTTTGATATAGATGATGGCGTTATAAAGCATACACTGCTGTCTACCATGCTCGGAAAACACAGATTACACCCAAAACTTCTTGGTTCAAAATGCTATCCGTTACTAGCTTTGGATTGGAAAATCCCAATATTAACTTTCATAATGTCACCATTACAGGATCGCTAAAGAATTATTCATTTCCTACTTAATCAAGATAAATAAGATAGATAAATACCATTTCATTTACTAAAGGAACGGGACAATTTCTAAAGAAAGATTCTGATTTTATATATTCTTAACTTTAATAGAAACAATGGAAATCTTAGAATATAATGTCTTTTCGTTAGTTTTGTAATTTTATTTGTATTTCTTTAAATAGAAGGTCCACATCAGCTTGCATAGCTGCCAGTATTTTAACCTCCTCATAAAATGAATTTGTATGTATGTATGTATGTATGTATGTATATATGTATCACATTTGGGTATTTTTCAGTCGTGGAGGCAAAGTGTATAAGTGAACGATTACTGTCATAATAACCAATCGCGATGTAGGCTTTTTTGTTGCTCGAAGAAAACCAATGCCTACACAGTCACCTTGTAATTCACATAACACTAGCAATTAGAATAGTTAGTAAGTTATTAGGCAGTTTATACCTCTCTTCCAGCCATGCCATTCATTAAATCTGTGAATTACAAATTTTACTTTGTCCCTCTCAGACTTCTTTGCGTACAAGAGAGCTAAAATTTGGATTAGTTTGTTATTGGTTAATTTGTTGAAGTTTATTTGAACAGTTAGAATGCATTAAACAATCGATAATTAACTGAAGTTACTGAGCTGTGGGACAATGTAGTAAGTGATTATGTTATACCTGATATTGATCAAAAAGTATTTTTTTCTCTCCTTATTTGCTTGGGAGAGAAAAATCTTAGAGAAAATCTGTCCCAAAGGCAAACTATTGAAATAGAGACCATTTATTTTGAAACCATTCATCATCGTAGCTACTATTGCTAAAAATATTTCAACAATAGTTGCATTATGGAAATGAGATGAAGCAAATTTATTGCATTCAACTTGTAGGTATCACAAGGATTGCCGATAGCATGTGCCGTGGGAAAGGCCACCAATGCGAAACGCACAAATGCAATAGAGGTGAGATGTTAAATACATGCAGAAGATTATATTTCTGAGCAAGTGCAATATAAGAGAATGTATTTTAATGCCAATCCTATAGGTTTTTGAATTGATGATTTTTCATTTCATCCTATAGAAAATTCGTATGATACCATACTTACATAGCGAATTCTGGCCCTTTCCATGGTGCCTATTTCGGTCTCTTTGTCGCTGCAATCGCTGTATCTTTTCAAATTCTGATTTTTTGCTAGGCTTTTTCAATGATCTTGCAATGGGCATGAAGTTTTTTGCATTCTTAGAAAACAATGTTGACAGCTGCTTCTGTAACGGTGTGACTTGCTCTTTCTTCTTAAGCACTGAACTTTTTGTGCCTCTTACAGAAAACTTTCCACTTTTCGACCTTCTTTCAACTGTGTTTGCCTTTTTAGCTACATTTACATTTTTAAGTGATGCCTTATTTCTTAGCCCACTTATTGTCCCTCTTGTAACACTATTGTAATCTTTTAAAGTATTGGTATTTCGCAATGTCTTTTTCACTGTCTCATCTGTTCCCTCAGCGTTTTCTGTATCAGAGCCTACAACTTCAACAGATTGCTTTCTTGTTTTTATCAAGCCCGAGCCTAAATCCGTCTCGTCATTTGCATTTCCGTGGCCATTCTCAGAATTACTGATCAATGCCAAGCTAGCATTTTTACCCGTCCTCACTTTGTTGCTACCACTGCGAGAATTAGGTTTTTCTACAGTTGTTTTGCCTTGCCCTTTTTTAGACTTGTCAAGCTCTACCGTGTCCGAAACAGCATTTTTCAAGTCATTTAATATAGTGTTTGCCGTGTCATGTTTCAAATTTTCATTATTGATGTATTTTACATCGTCATTTTCCTTCAGAATCTCCTCTGTTTTCTGAATTTTATCTAGTTTGCCTTTTTTAAATGACATTAGCATGCTGTCCTGTTTTTCGTCTTTATCAGCATTAGTAGCTTTTCCATTCGCTTTATATTCAATGCTTGTTTTAGCTTTCAACTTTTCATCATTATTTTCATCCTTGTCTTCATGATCGTCCTGGCCCAGCGATTCTTCGCTTTTGTTATCTCTGTCCTCGTTGTCCTGGTCTTCTTCCATAAATGAGTAGCTTTTCAATGATTGCACCAGATTGGTGCCAAACTGTCCTTGCTTTGAAGGAGTAGGAATAGCAGACCTGCTAGCAGATGGCAATTTTGCAAGTGTCGCTTCAGGTGAAGCATTATCCGTATCAATGCTTGGTCCTAATCCAAGCAGGTTATTTTCGTCGGTCTCTTTGACCGTAGTATGTACCTTAGTAGTAGCTCCGAGCGCTTCTTCGATGTCATCTGTTACTAGTCCTGATCCGGAAATTCTGTCCTCCTCTTCTAGCGATCCGGACGCCGATCCAGAGCCGGAAGCTGCAGCTTCTGTTTGCTCATCATTTTGTTTAACTGCTGGTTGTAATAAAGGGACAAATTTAGTTACCCTCGGAGTGGTTTTAGGTGTGTTTCCCTGAGCTGCAAAAGTTGGTTTCTTGTTGATAATGCTTTGCTGAAAGTTTACCTTCTGCTTTTCAAGTGAAGGTTTACGAGTTTTTGCTGTAGCCACTTCTTTGACGACTTCCCCTAAAGTTAGATAATGGAAATGTGAAACATATTTTCAGGAAAGCTGGAACTTAGAATCAAATCTTAATTATCGTGACAAAAACCAACGTGAATGCAAATTGAGCGGAAGTCGTACAACACCAAATATAATTTTGATAAATTAAAGTAAATCTACTGACACTTACTGACATAAAACATTTCATCTATGCAATACATTTATGCAAAGATGTTTCTGTGTGAAATAGATTCTGACCCATTCTTTAAAATGAATGATTTCACCAACAAGTTCACTAACGTAGTTTTACAAGTAAGCTTTGACCGTTGGTTTCTTCAGCATTTGCTTTATGACATGGTACCATTATTCAGAACTGAAGAATTTGTCTGTTTTTTTTCAAATCCAAAGAGGATTATTCATTATTCTCAGATTTTATGAGCATCAAACATTATTCAACATACTGTTACAGTCCAGCAACCCATGAAGCATTGTGCTAAGTCAAAAAGCCTCTTTCTACTCTGTTGACTTTTCACTTTTCTACTTTATCAAGGTAGGCCTAATGTAAGACGCTGCTTTTGAATATATAGCCAGGCCCCAGAATACATGTCGAACACATGGTCAGTAGCCATGAAAATGGCTAATGAAAAAAATCAAACCCTTCTTCTAAAGCCCGTCTTCTTTCGTGTTTTTCCTGCGAAGCAATTCAGAGCTCAAGAGATTTTTCAAGTAGTGTCACATGACAATCACATGACATTCTTAATCGCCTTGATTAATCGCTTTGACATTCTTAACGACCTCACTGCTGAGTTATGCTAGTTTTTCGTGTAAATGCTTGCAGGTTATGTATATATTTCGCTACTAAACACACTGTCTCTTCTCTGGCTACTCAACAGATTTGTTGGGAGGATAGATCAATCATATAGGAAAGCATGTCCCTGTTTCTTCGATTCTCTAAGTCCAGCCGTTAGGAGCTTATACTTACCAAAAAAGCGCTTACCTTAGCATTAATAGATCAATTGACTAGGCTATAGAGTTTTAAAGTGTGGCGTCACACCAAAAACTATTTTTAGAATTTTCGAATTTTGACCACATAGCATGAAACAACACCATAAAACACTCCCATATATGGAAAATTAGTTAAATTTGTCAAAAATCGGGTGAGCTATGGCCAATAGAAGATTTGAAGTTTGCTGATGGACTACTGTTATTTTGGCTCAGTTCATAAATTTATGAACTGAGACCAAATTACAGGGGTTGATGGGGGCAAAAGCTTGTGCTCATTTGGTCATATCTCGGTCAATTCGTAATATTTTCACTGATTTAGCAGATTTAGAAATATTTCATGATGCTCTTTCAGGTTAAAGGAAAAAATTTCAAAATCCTAAGAATATATTTTTGTGACGTCATCACTTGACAACTTTATTATTGATAACTTAGATGTCATTAACGGCGAGAATGGACATTTGAGCTTTTAGTATTTATTCGTGAAGGTTATTGGGAAGCGAATAACATGAGCTAAAATCCACATTCACTTGATAAAGATATACAAGATGATAAGCTAAGGTATTCTGTTTTTTTTAAAGATCAAGTTAAGTCATATTTTTATGCCCTTTTGCATATACAAAGACATCATATATTGGAAAAAATAGAGTCAACAGGTAGTTTGTACGTCTTTACGAAGAAAAGATTTAAAGATATCACGGAGTAGCCGAAACATTGCATAGAATGTGGCAAAAGAACACGAGGAGATTATCACGTGACAAGATGCAGACTAAGTTGTTGTCTTTTAACAAAAAAGTTGGTGACTACCTTTCGTTATGAATGAGATTTCTGCTCTAAGCTCTGTCCCTTTCTTTTTGTGTGAGATTTGACAGGAATCGTCATCTTGGCAATTGACAGCGTGGCAAACACTGCCAACTTTCATTGCCAAATCACACTTGCTCGTTCGGCAGCATTTCTCGATGCATGCCTCCATGCTTGGTATGTTTGAGAAAATTGTGTCATTCCGCGACTGTATGCCACCATGAAGGAAAACTCCATTTAGAATTCCACCATGTGTACATTTGTTTTCATGATCTTCTGAAAGAATCAATATGCTTCTATTTACATAATAGCATGCTTCTCTTGAACATGTATGCAACTCAATCAGTTGACCAGTTTAAACTATAAACATGCAGTTTGTTCGTAAACTTCAAAAGCTGAAGACTATTTTTTGGGATCACTTCACAATTCCTGTTAAAATCTTTGCCGCTGGAAGGAATTTATGCAGTAACAGCCGAAACCAAATTTTACAATGCTTACAAAGTTAAATTTTCAATCAGTTTTTTTTGCCTTTTTGAAAGAACCTCTTTGATTTCCATTTTCCTTCGGGGATGTTAGAGCTTTGTGCAGCGTAGGTCAAGGTAAAGTGATTTTCTTTTTGTGGTACAAAAATTTAAAATGGCTTTGAAAAGATATTTCATTTTCATAATAATTAAACATTAAGAATCACAGATAGGCTGCTATATGTTTGCAACAGTTGAGTTTTTGTGAATTTCAGTTTAGAAAGCAGTAGACCCAAGTGACATAAACAGATAAACAGTAAAAAGACACAAAATAAACAGTGACATTAAATCATGCACGTATCTATGCGATGCTTGCGATCAAAGTTTGGAAAATCATATTTCATTCAGCCATTTTATTCAAGTGTGTCAGGAGAAGTTTTGCTAGGCCTATGCTATATCCCAAGTATCTTCGGTCAGGCCAATTAAGATGTCTGACCGTCGCTATACTAATAAAATACAAAGAAATTCTGACTTTTTCTTATTTTGTACTTTAACAGCTTTTTAATTAGATATCAAAGAATGGTATATAAAGAAGATCGTCTTCACAGCGCAATTACTTTTTCGCTAACTTTTTCGCAGTATTTGAAAATCTAAAGACTTGATAATTTGTTACATCAAAGCATTTCTTCAGGTAATTTAATTTCAACTGGTTTCAGCCACCCAGAATTTAAATACAAAGAAGCAAATGAACCGTTGTATAATTCACTGAATGCTTACCCAGCCGAAGGCTTCTAGCAGACGTCGCGAACGCTAAGCAAAAACAAATTAATTCCAAAAGTATTGAAGTTTTATGCCAAAACATTTCATCTTCTTCATATTCCACTATGATTTTGCATTTCAACGCCGAAGCTGGCTTTGTATATCATCTTAAACATATTGCAAACACTTTTCGCTTATAGTAATCAAATTACGAGGTCGAAAATTCGGCGTCGCTGCGTCGATGATCTTCTGACATCGCAAACAATTCGTTACAGGTAAAGCGCCGGGGGGTCTACGTGCTGCAAAACGTACCTTATTCTTGTTGCTCTTGGAATATATGTTATGGCCGGTTATGGCGTAGGTAGGGAGTGCTCACAATAAAATGCTTTCTGAGGATGAGGGGGAGCTACCGTTAAAAGTTGGCGCCAATTTCTGGTTGAATTACTAAACTAATATCTGGGCTTATGAACAGCCCTTTGCAAGAAAACCAAAGTTCGAAAAAAAGTAATATTGAAAAGATAATTTGAATAATTCAAAAAGGTTTACTAGAAGTGGAAAATTTAGCTGAATGTTTTTCAAAATCTTCAACAAATTCGATGCAAGTACAAATGATTTCTTGTCTAGCCATTTTAAATATTGCCATATTTTCATGTTTGTTTTGATACATAAAATGCATAAAACTTCAGAGCTCTGGTAGTTTATTCACTCGAGGCTGCATCGTGAACTTTTCATTAATAAACGGTTTTCTTTAATATTGAAAAGCGTGATCATTTTTTACAGTTATGTCGGATCCAAGATATTTTTAGCGTCTTCAATGCGTCAGGTATTCATTCTCAGATGTTTACAAATATTTACGCTTAATAAGAATGCAAAAATACAATAAAAGTAACTATGCTACCAATCAACTGAAAAGAGTAGAACCCCCGTCTACTTGTTGACAGATAAGATGCAGGTGACCTTTCTGGGCATTCGAGGCTTGCATTGGTTTAAGTCTGTTTCCCATCTTTCGCGTAGAGTTCTAGTGTGAAAAATAGTCTTAAAAATATTGAAAAACAAAATACTTTTTATAAGACTTTGCAAGAATTCCATTTTATTTGCTTTCTTCAGTTTGTTCAAGCATGATGTTATGAGGATAAAGGCCATGTTAGTGGCTGTGTCATGGCCTTGTTTTTCCTGAAACCACTGATGCGTGACGAAGGGCTTTTCCGAAAGTGTACACATTTTAAATTTAAAACCCACTTATTTCTTCATTCACATTTTCACAGATCATGCTGCTGAAGTTACAGCTTTGTTGCAAATGATTTGTTACAATGCGAGAAAATTTTCGGTTACTTGAAAAGATGTCGCAAAGGAACGGCACTCACAAACCTCGGTTTCAAATGCAAATGTTAATCAACTAAAGATGGAGCCTTCTGATTCCAACTCGTCTCAAGGTATCCTGCTTTCTAGGTTTAGCCGCCAAACATTTTGAAAAAAGTACCCGCTCAATGTGCAGATGCAGGGCCTATTTTATTGTGCAGTATTGCACATTTTGTGCAGTATTAATTTAACAACATGCAGTATTGATTTGGAAAATGTACAGTATTGAATTTTGGGATTTGTGAAAATGTCTATTTGCGGCTATCCCAGATTCCTGCTTTGTTCACAAAATGTGAATTTTCCTCGTCAGTTCGATATAGAGTTCATGTATTGTAAATCTCGCATGACCATCGGAAAGACTCTCCTATCAAAACTTACAACAAAACGAAATGCCCAGAACCAAAAACAAAACATCTACTTGTAAATGTCAGCATTGCTGTAAATTTCTTAATTTCTTATTTTGAACATTCAGTAACAATTTATCAGTTGCCCTATCATGCTCTTGGCGTCTAGCAGAAGCTCACTTAACAAAACAAAAAGAAACAACTTAACAAAAAGAAAGATAAAGAGCCTAATAAAACTTTTTAGTTGTACTGTCCAGACAAAACACGAGATAGTGACCCCGTTTATAAGTGATGAATGACTATGTTTCTACTCAAGTTTTGTAGCTACTGTTTGTTTTGTTGCTGTTTTGAAGTGTTATTGTTGATTGTGTATATCATCGTCTGTCTGTTTGTGATTTCTGCGTCATGGCCTATACACGTGTTCAAAGTTCGGGGAATTTTCTCGCTACGCTTGCATTGCTAAGGCACCTGGGGTTTGCAGTGGTTAACACTAATTGCAACAGAAAAATTTCCTATAAGAAAATATGATAATAAATGTGCAGTATTGAGAATTTCTTAAAATAGGCCCTGTGCAGATGGAAGCGCATTCTAGAGAGTCCAATCAAACACCTCATAATTTGAGTGCAGGACAGGATTTGAGACTTGCTCGCATTTTCTATACGATGTTTGGACGCACTGGATACCAAAATAAAACTGTTAAACATTTACAAGTTTTTTTCTTGCCAGTTCAATGAGAAAAATTCAACAAAATTTCCCACTAAATATCATCGTTTGAAACAAATGACCAGTTTATAATAGGGAACGCAAATGAGCAGTGTTTCTTTTGAAAGAGAAGACTTTGTTTTCTAATCTTTCTAAATGCTGTTATAACGCTTAAAATAACAGTTTCTAATATAATTGTCACAGTTCATTGTGTTCCGGTATTATTCTTCTGTTTCTATGCATCTGCCCGCATACAGAGGAACGATGGCAGTTCTCTTGTTACAGGCTGCTGCCATCATGTGACAAGCTGTTGGGTATGTCACTCTGTCATTGCCACACCAAGACAGTTCCAGTGGCAACGGATCTTCACAAACTGGACACCTATAAGGCAAGCAAAGAACAGACTCTCCTCTAGACTTGTTAACCAACAAAGCAACAATCTAAAGCAAGCAGATATCAGCATTAAATATGTGCATTAGCAACAGATTACTGCCTTCGACCCTGATCCTAGAAAGCAAGCTGTGGAAATAATTTTTTCAACAAAGAAAGGCAAATTGATCATCCCCCGTTATTTTTTAATAATGTCCAAGTACTGAAAGTGGTTGAGCATAAGCATCTTGAGCTTACACTCGACCCAAGGCTTTCTTTCATAAATCACATAAATGCAGCTATTGCAAAATCAAGAAAGGCAATAGGAATGTTGCAGTTTCTTTCAAAATATCTTCCTCGGGAAACCTTGAATATGCTTTACAAATTTTATGTCAGATCGTACTTAGACTATGGAGATGTGATTTACCACATTCCATGCAAGGAACTCAGTCCAAAAAGCCGCGGAAATATCCTGATGCAAAAAATCGAATCGGTTCAATATTCTGCAGCATTAGCAGTAACACGGAAAGGGACCTCTTATGAAAAGCTGTATCAAGAGTTAGGGTGGGAATCCCTGCACTCGAGAAGATGGAGTAGACGACTTTTCATGATCTACAATATAATCAACAATCTGATGCCAGATAATACAAGAGATCCTATTCCACTGCTGAATCTTCTGAATTATCCTTTTTGCAATCAACCAGTTGTTGGACAAATTAGAGCAAGAACTGAAAAACATAAGTCAAGCCTTTTTCCCAACAGTTTGCATAAATGGAGTAAACTCGACCCTGAAATCAGAGAATCGCCTTCCATTGATATATTCAAGAACAGATTGCTGTCGATCATTAGGCCACTTCCTAACTCTGTTTCTGGTATCTATGACCCACGAGGGCTTTCTTTATTAACTCAACTTAGGGTAGGGTTGAGCAAACCGAATTTCCACAAATTCATTCATAATTTTAGTGACACAATCAACCCGATGTGTCCGATCAACGATGGTCTTGAGGATACGGAGCACTTTATATTGCCATGCCAGTCTTCTGAAGAACAAAGACGTGACCTCGTCGCTTGTGTCAGTCCGGCACTGTATTCATATGAATTTGCCAACGTCCCAAATCCTGTCCTTTTACAGATTCTTTTGTACGGTGACAAAAATTGCCATTTAAACTGAATAAATTCATTCTGGAACCTACTATCCTGTTTATTTCAAGAACAGAACGCTTTGAATGATAATATAATCATTTTTATCAAATATCCCTAAATCTTGTGCCTCACCCACTTATTTTTTATTTTCACTTTTTAAAACGTATCAACTTGCAACTGTAATTTCCTATATATATGTTTCTTTTTTTTGTAACTTTCATTATGTGTACGTGTAGCGTTTGTATTTGTTTGTCTAGTTGCATGTCATGGCCATTGGGTTGTCATTGTTCTTTGCTCTCCCATGGTATCTCACCTGTAGTATCGTAGAGAAATTAGCAAGTATAGTAAACGTATTTTGTATTGTAATATTTCATCTGGATATAAAAAAACAGCTTACTCGAAGACTGCATAATCTGCATCTCAAAGCTAAAAAGGTACCAGCGGATAACTACATAACATAGCGTTCGTTTCTGGTGCTGAATAGTATTCTTATATTCTAGATACAAACTTCGCTATCTATCATTTGTTATTCAGAAAGCATTTTCATGAAAACTATGTCACTACTTGCCATTGTGATGCTATGATCATCGGTGAATGATTTGAATTCATTTCCAATAACCATCATAGTATAAAACATAAACACCATTGCCTAAGCATGCGGCAATGCTTTTACATGCATGCATTATTAGCCAATCAATAAGAAGGATACCGCCCAGACGATTTTTGATTGGCCAATAATTGACTGACAGATAGCTTTAGCCACATTATTATCTTTTGACTGCTTTTAATGTCGAACATACCTAAGGTCAGAGCATTCTCCGAAATGTGTCCTTGGAACATCCATGACTTTGACGATGGGTGTTCTTGAAAAGCATGCTCGTTTGTTGAGATTGCATGGGTTGCTGTACCTCTGGAGGTCGCTACCGCAAACAGGCTCATGCCGGTAGTTGCATTTGATTCTGATGCACCCAAATCTGTCTCCAGTACCGTCCTCTCGTATTGTGCCTGTAGAAAATTGAAAGAAAAAACATTTGTTTTTAGAACATCTCATTTATAAAACCATAGACGCTTAATTTTTGTCTAAAAACAATTTTCTGTGATTTGTTGTGTATGTAGTAGAAACGTCATCCTGATATAGTTCAAGCATTTTTTTAGATGTAAAATCTAAGAGGGCTGGGATACGGTCAGTGAAGAGGTTTCTGCTGTTTCTTATTCTAGATTTTGATCTAAATGTTCAAATAATTTTATCTCAGTAAATATCTTTCAACTTTCTTTGTTACATTTCAAAGTTGTCAAAATTTTGGTCGTGCGACATTTTTCTAAAACTATAACAACATGAAACACAGTTTGTGCTGATGTGCACAACAATGTTTCTTAATATTTCCTCAGCCGTCCTGTCCTTACCTCTAAGCGTGGACCTGCATCGGCCTTTGTATACAGAAATCAACGGTGTGCTTGTACGGCAGGCCTCCTTCCTCAGCTCGCACTCACTCTCGTATGTCTTCCAATCATTGCCGCAGACAGGTTCTGTCTCACTGTCTGTGCAAATTGTTTCACAGTGAGTATCAGTGGTTTTCGGGACAGGCCCTTGGAATAATATGTCTACAATAGAAATATAATAATTGCATTAAAATTAGGATATTAAATTAGGAATATATATTTGAATAATCCTTCGCCCTAATAAGCAAATTTTGATAATCCATTATTTCTGTCCCTGGTCAATCACATAATCAGGAGATAATGGAAATCTCAAAAAAACGAGTGAACTTGTAAAAAATTAAAATGTTTTGAAAATGAGCTATTTGCATGGCCATCATTCAGATAAAGCTTACAGGTATCAAGTAGATAAGCTTCACGAAGGGGCAATTTGAGTATCTATGGTTTATGCCACTCACTTGTAGCGGACAGCAGCCCGAATGTCAGCAATGCAAGCACAGGATGCATGTTGGTATGATTTGATCTGCATACAGAAACAGCGAACATTAAATTAACATCAAGATAACAAGCAGCATTTGCGGAAGCAAATTTTACATGTTCCGGAATCAAGTTCTACATTATTGCATTCTACCTTCATTTCGATTCTTTAAAGAATTAGTCACTAAAGTTTTGAATTTTACACTTCAATTGATAAATATATTACTTGTGTAGATACATAACTTTTTCTAGTAGATACGATGTGAATTTAACAAGTAAAATGGGTCCTACCTTTTCCAACAGGCCACAACTCTGAACTCAGATGAAGATTCAATATACTTGAACAGCCGTTCTGCTTTAAATACATTACTCTCAGCATGAGGTCAAATGAAATCAAACTTGAAATGAAAAAGGTCGCTGTGAAGGTGAAATGTTTGCAGTTCATTTTTGCTGAAAACTGTGCCAGAAATCTGCAAAGAGTAAACGAAGGCAAAATTTTTTAAGCATCTGTGCTGCAAACTACATACTTCAAGCTAGGCAAATTTCCTCTGTTTTAGACAATAGCAAATTTTCCTTACATCTTTGAATAAAGAAAATTTTCAATACATTCTGTTGATACCAAAAGCAGTGTTATTCCAGCCAATTCATTTACATCAAACCCATTTCAGAGCACACTTGTTTCTTAATGCATTATGAGCCAAACTTTTCTACTCTTGATGAAACTCTGCTATCAACTTCTGCATTTTATCTAACTTCTACACCTTAAAAACTGTCTTCTCTTTCTTAGCAAAGAAACTACAGAGTATGAGGGTAGCTGTCGCTTAATCAAATGCTAGCCACACTGTTAGGGCATTACAACGAACCTTTTTACTTCGCCTTTTATATCCATGAAGACTGCTCTGTGAACCAGGTGGTTCAAGCAAAAGAGCAGGACTCACACTATTGGGGCAGTGGGGGAAGTGGGGTGTGACTTTCTCTGGAAAGATTTCTGATTAAAAAACGATGGGTTGTGCCATCTATGGATGTGTCGTCGGCAAATTTTAAACTTATGCTTCACCAAAAACAGAAAAGGGGCGTTCACAAACTTTGCTGACAAATGGGACCTGGACACCCCCTTTAGTGCTACAGGTAGCGACGGCCAAGAACAGGAGCCTATCTACCAGGCAACTGCCGTTTTAAATTTATGTGTAAGTGATTGATTGAAAGTAGCAACAAAGAAATCCTTCAAAAAGAAAATAAGACCATTCAACATAACGCTTATTTTAGGCAACCAAACTGATTAAAACAAAATGCTAACAGCATACTTGACTTATGTTCAAATGCATTCTTAATAACAGCTTTTAGAGAGTGAATATTCGGTTCATCGTTTTTTACTTTGTAACGTTTCTTTTCTTTCAAATGAGTTTCTTTTGTCCAAGGTCCTGTAAATGAAATAGATTGTAGTACAAAAGCAGGAAATAATTTATTTTGATACTTGGTAGAATTGCAAAAAAATTGAAGATCTGCAATGTAACCATACATTGCTCATAAGACTTTGATACGTCAGGTTATAAATTATGACGATAGAAAGATACTCATAGCTATTACATGAGGACTAGGCCTTTTTAAAGGATTCTTAGACTACACTTGTACGACTATGATGTGATTTTTAAGGCATTACTAAGTATTCCTTGGCCTTGAAATTGACAACATCAATTAGATGCAAACAATATATAACTGCTTGCTACCAGACTCCATACTCAAACAAACATTGATATCTTTTCCAGCATTACAATACCTTTCAAAAGCTTTCCAAATGTAATGTGATTACATGTATTCTTTTACATGATTTTGCACGCTCCATCATAGAGTTTGATTATAGCGATTCTTTGACGGCATGCCTCTGCTCTCATGACACACTCGTTCGAATATGTCTTCTGATCTGAGCCACAAACTGCTTTGAAGTCGCTTCGTAGGCAAGGAATTTCGCAGGTTTCTTTCCTGTTTAAGAAGGTAAAAACTGGTTAAGCGTTCACGGCCGCGTTCAGGGCCTAAACATTTGACATTACAGCTGCAATGCAAGAAAATTAAAGTTTTAGAGAGTTTCCTTGCATGGAAAAGTGGGATCATTTTTCCGAGGATGCGAGAGTCCTGGGAACTAGTGACGTACGTTACTGAGACACAGAATCCCTATTATGTGACTGAGAACTACTTGGAGTTTTAATCAAAGCCAGAATTGGCACGTTTTTTGTAGGCTTTAAATTTCGTTTTGGTCAAAATGTAAGACAATAGGAGATTCATGTTGTTTTTGCAAAACATTTTCCGATTTCTTCGGTGCACTTTTCATCAAGGCCATTTTATCACTGGCTCGTCAATCTTGTAATGTTTACAAATTAATCAACAGGGCTATCGTTCATTTTCATCATGGAAAAATTTTCTTCAATTCAATGCACTTTAGAAGATACTCGTTGATTTTATAAGATCATTTTTGCATAATGGGGGCTGGGGGGCTATGTTACAGTTTGTGTATCTTCCAATATTTTGTGTATCTTTTACAACACTCAAAGAAATACGGGTAACAATTTTTTTGATCAGTTATGATCAGTTTTGATATGATACATGTCTGATGTTAGTTCAGCTGAAAAGGCTTCATATGTTTTCCTTTGAGATATTTCAGAAGACCAATCTTTACAAACCTTCCGCATTTGTTGTGAATTGCAAATGATGAGTTCCTCACAATGGTTATCGCCTTTCTTTCTTTGCAAGCTGCGAATCTCAGGTGGCATTCGCTGGAATATTTTGCTCCGTCACTTCCACAAACTGGCCTGTAGATCTCAGGACAGGCAAAAGCGCAATAGTTTTCTGAAAGACAGGCATGTGTGAAGATTAATTACGCACTAAACAGGGAGTCGAAATAAGAAAGGGGATTGGGGAATTGACCTTTTCTGAAAGGAAATTTTTGATGAAATTGCCTGCAAGGAATTTTGAATTTCGAAATTTTAGTTGAATGTTTCCGTCCTTGTCTGTTGCAAGCAGCTTTGCGCATTTCACATTCGTTTGAGTACGTTTTCAAGTCATTCCCACAGACCGGCAGATAAATGAAATGGCAGGGGAACTTGCATGCTGGGTATGATACAGGGACCACGGCACTGCCAACAACTGTAAACGAAACATTAAAACTAACAAGTATGAATATAAGCACAAAGATGTCTTTTTCTATCATCACCCCTACGACATATTTGCTGTGCCTCACTATATTGTCGACTTTCTTTCTCGATGTTTTTATCAACATAACATGAGGATGCGCAGGGGAAGGGAGCATCATCGCCCCATCTTTTTAAAAGCTAATTCAAGAACGCCGGAACAGGTCTTGGAGTAGAGGGGAGGGGGGAATTAGACAAGTCGACAAACTCTTACGGTGGTTTGCCAACATTACCTTTGACGACACAACCTTACTATCATACTTCAGCAAAAAGGTTGGGGGGGCTACTGAGCCGCCCGGCTCTGGCATGCCTGTGGTTGGCGTAAATAAATTAAGAAAAATTGCCTAGAATAAGGAAATGATTTCTCCAGGACAGTAGTTGCAGACTACATTTCTTTCAAAATTTTTGGGCTGGTTTGGGAGGTGCAAGGATACTTCTAGCTACCTTCATTACATAGGGAAAAGTCAACGTATCAATGTTTCTACTTCATGCATCTGCTTCACGAAGAAGTGCTGCAAGCTCATCGTGTTTGATGTCCTGCTACTTCAAACCTGCTGCTTCTTGCACATCAAACCAAGGACAAAGGGTACGGTAACTGACATCCCAGGAAGCCCTGGTCCAGCGTTGGCATTTGGTGTTCAGTTCCCTGAATAACTAGCAACCCATAGATGTAGTGCTTTGAAACCATACAATGGGCAGCCCCCCCCCCCCCTATATGAATTTCATTCCGATGGCACTGTAGAATATTGCAGAATGAAAGGGTGTTGTAGGCGAACGTCATATCAAATCAGATAAATCCTAGCTTTATTTTAAATCGCATAAGCAACAAATATGATTAGAATATAACTATAAACACAATGCAAAAACCTGATAAAGCTGCAAATAAGAAACACAACATAGCTGGCAAGATATGCGATCTTCGGTCTGTAGTTTCTTTCAATGCTGCTGTACCAGTCTCTTATGTGTTCCTGTCTGCAGTTCTTATAACTACAGCTTGTCGTTAAGTGTTTTGGCAAACTAACGACCTCTGAGGATACGTATGCAATTATCCATAATTAGAGTGACAGAGATAGATCTATTATTTTAATAATCGAACAATTTTCTAATAATGACAGTATCATTCATGTAATGGTGCTATTAAGCAAGTCAAACTTAGAGATAATTAAGTCAAAGTTTTGAAACTCGATTTCAGACATATGTTTTGGAAAAAAGCACCAGTGCGTACCGTAAACATTCAATAACATCTTTCATTAGGATTGAATTTCTACGGAATTAAAATCATGAAAACTGAAAATTACAAGATGTAAAATTTGTGTATGTGAAGAATGTCCGTTTGGTTGTAGAATACGAAAAGTTCTTTTATTCTAAAATTGCATTTTCAGTGCAATCAATAAAATTCCGTTGCTATGATGTAATTTGTCGAGAAATCTTACCTTTCTTGGCAACTGACGCTAAAGGAGAGCATCTACGCAATATTCAAACTGTTCGTACTTGACCTTTCTGATATAACGCGAGCACTGGGCATCCGGGTGATTTGGCCCAGGATAGGCTGGAGACGCAATGAGATTGTGAGTTTTGCAGCGGATTTTCCAAAGTGTGACAGTAAGTTTATGGCATCACAGTTAATGTTTGCAAACCACCGTAAAAGTTTGTCGACTTGTCTAATGCCCCCCCCCCCTAGGAAAGTAGGCTGTGCTGTAGGCAGATTCAAGAGACCAAACCCTTGACCACACCCTTATCACGCCCATGTTGCATTTGTGTTAAAGACTCTCAGTTGTGTGTAGATAAACTACTTACTGACAGAAAAATTTGATAAAAAATTGCTCATCTACAGTACAATTGAGGATTGCCAACACAGAATTCTTCCAACGAAATATGAAATTACTTGTTAACGGGGCCTGAGATACTTTATGTAGAATATTAACAAATTTTTCAACATTTGAAACTACAACAATTTAATTTTTTGAATAGAACAGTAAAACAAGGAAAAATCTATTTCAAAATCTCTTGACTTCAGATTTTTTCTGGGACACCTAGCGGTGACGGATTTCCTGATAATTTGAAAAGCATGCACAGTCTATAGCATTGTTACCCTAACCAGTATCGTAAACACGTGGCTTAATCAGAACTGCAGTTTTAATCAGTTGCTGCGAATCCACGAGAACATTTTTTGGCGCGCTGAATGTATTTACGCTAAGCCATCTTCGTCGTTTCTTTGTTTGCAGTAGCCGTTCTGTCATACCTTAATTGTTTGTCCAACTGAAGTGTGGTCCCATCACCACTTGGCTATCATTGTAAACAAAGAGATGCTTTTTCACATATAAATATGAGCTTTTTTCTGTTGTAATTACTACAAAATTCATCAAGGTATCCTCAAGCACGATAGCTGAGTATTTTGGTGGGTATGAATTTTCTTCGAAATTTAATTTGCTGGTTTATAGTCCTGTTCTTTGTTATATACCATTTTCTAAAGTCGTTTGTAACCTTAAACCATGTTGGAAAATTGAACAGAAAAAGGTTTTAGTAAAACTTTAAACCAAGCTTATTTTCCTTTTTTAGAAATCAGATCTTCAACAAAATGAGTTTCATTGCAGTTTTTGGATTCATCGTAGCTTGCACTGCTGGTAAGATTCACCTTAAACCTGCAGATTTCTAGCTGTTGCAGAGGTCATTATTTTTGTAGAAAACATTCTATTAGAGACCTAGTATTGGGGCTAGTGAGCTGTTGTAATTCAATTCTGGTTACAAAATCAAAAACATTTCATATATCAGATGTATTTGTGTGTTCATTATTGTTCACAGCTAGCCCCAAAATTGAAGCATCTTCTAAAAAGGAACTATAAACATTCATTTTGCCAGAAATACAAATTTTACTACTCAGTGACTACAAAATATCTTATAAAATACGAGAGTATATAATGATTTTTGCAAAGAAATCTATATACAGAGAATCGTAATACCAACTTTCAGTAAAATTGGGCTCAGTAAAATTCAGTAATCGTGTTTCTATAGTTGGGCTTGGAGCACAAATTCGTCTCAATATGTATGCCCTTGATAGCTTGCTGGAATAATGCAACGCTTTCTGACAAATGTTGTTATTCTTTAGGCGCCTTGGCTCGGCTAGACTGCAGTTTTCCTTGCACGGCTGACTATCGACCAGTGTGCGGGAGTGATCTCAAAACATACCCCAACGAATGCGCGATGAGATGGGCGGCCTGTAAACAAGGACAGGCCATCATAGCTGTATACCGACAAGCATGCAAGGAGCAACGTATGTGTTTGATGTTCTCTATTGGAGAATCTGATGCACTTGTACCAAATTTTGCAGTTATCATAATAAATAATAATCTTAAACAATTGGCATATTGAAAGAGCTACTATATTAGAATTCTCAGAGTCATAGCACCTTTGGGGGCTGGAGACCATATGTAAATTGTGAGATAATATTGGATAGCATTTCGATATGTTATGTACGATAAGGTATTCTAAGAGCATTTTATAGGGCTGGTTATCAAGCATAGTCTTTTGAGAATTCACCCCTAAACCCACCTATTTTTGTCTCCTTTTTCAATAATTTTCTTCTCGCTATGACTAGTTGTAAACCATTTTTAGTAAATGCCCTGTTCATCAATGAAGTATATAGATTTAGCATTTTAGTGAACAAGAATTTAGTCTGATAATTGCGTCATCAGTTTGCACAGAGACAAAGATATTAGCGACTTTAACGAGTCCAGAATATGTTCTAAAACAATATAAAAACGTCTAAGAGATGTCTAGGCGTAGCCCAATCCAACTCTCGCATGACTCACATGCAACAGGCCACTCAACCATCACCCTTCCCATAACCATAGAACACACCTTGAGCTTTTAAGCGGGAGTGCCAAAAAGCTTGTACTAGTTTTCATATGTATGAGCTCAAACTACTTTGAACTGCTGGTATTGGTATTTGATCAAGCTTATCTTTTCAAATCATTTTGATAATGTGACTGCATTAATTTCTATCTTAGCAAACGAGTGCAGTTTTGGATGCACACGGGAGTACTTACCCGTCTGTGGAAGTGATGGGAACAAATACTCGAACGAATGCACCCTAAGAATGAACGCCTGCACATCTAGAACGGCCATCAGCGTAGTCAGCAGATTTGCTTTTGAGCACACTGATTGCGAAAGGTTGGTGCTCTAAATACTTTCAGAGTTTATAATGCAGCTTTTGTGATTATAGTCTTGTTTTTGCATCTTCAGCGATTCTTTTTCATTTTTATTTGTAAAATACTATGAAATTTGTACACATTGAGCCAGGCAGAGAATTCTGTTCCCCTACAATATAAAATTCATGTATAGCAGATTTTTCAAAGCTTTGAAGAATTCTTGAACACGTCCCTTAATTGAACATACGACTTGGATCAGTTGCATAACAGGTGAAATGTATTAAGAGACATATTGGGGAGAATTCAAAGAAGGAATGAGTATTGATTTTCAAAACGGTTCAATCTGCTCTTGCTCATTCTTAAAGAAAGATTTTCGAAATGAAATAGAACAAACTGTAGCTTGTAACTTGGCTCTTAGTTTAAGTTCTATTCTTGTTGGTCTTGCAGTGAATCTGTTGCTTGTAACTTGTAATAAACTGTTGCTTGTAGAATAAAATAGAATAGAATAAACTGTTGCTTGTAACTTGGCTCTTAGTTTGAATTCTATTCTTGTTGGTCTTGCAGTGAATCTGCTTGCAACCTCGCCTGCACATTCAACTACAGTCCTGTGTGTGGCTCGGACGGCCAAACCCACAGCAACGAATGCGTAATGGCCATGAATGCTTGCAGGGCCAAAACGGCGATTGTCAGACTGTATGAAGGGGAATGCAAACACGTCGATGATTGTAAGTCTTGTCAGTTGTATCCACCTAGATTCATCTATTGCAAGGAAAAACAATGATCGAGTGACGAAGGAGAATGAGGACTAGTCGCCAGTGCTTTAATTTGTATACAAATCAGGACAATTTTTTACTTGATTCATTTAGAACAACGTTAATTTTTTATCTGGGAAGAAACATTAGGAAAGAAAGTTATTTGCCATATCCCTCATCAAATCAATTCTACCCTGGCTACCAGACTCACCCAGAGTAACATTCCCTCAGCAGGGCCTCCGATGAAGGGGCCTTGGCCCCCCCCCCACTTTTTTGCAAAACAATAGAGTTTTTTTCAAAATCTTTTGTTATGGGTGTTAAATTCTCTCTTGGCCCCCCCACTTTTCAACCTTTGTCGGAGCCCATGCTCAGCATAGAAAGCGACCATTGCCCGTTGTTGCATCTGCACTGGTCACTCTACCTAGCCCATATAATCCCTAACCTTAAAAATACCTTGATGGACAAAGCAATTGAAATCAGGCCCTGATTATCAGGGCAGGGATTGAGGAGAAAATTCTACTTCCCCATTGAGCCGATGCACTAGCAGTACCTTGCATACCTAAGGTATGAGAGGGGTAGACAGAAATAACTTAAAGAGTCGAGTTTATCCTAAAGTAAGACATAAAGAGCAGTGAAAAGAACCCTGCGATGTAAATAAGCCCTAGTCCAAAAAACTGTTCCTTGATTGAATCTCTTGGTGCCGCATACACGCGACAGGCCACATTTGGACGAGCTGATATCGTAAGAGTAGATTGTAACTTAAAAAAGGGATTTTTCATTTTCAGCACTGAGATGAAAAGATACTTTACAATACACGAAATCGCGTGGTAAAAGTATTTGAAGGCATAAAATTTAAAGGTCTTGATGCTGTTATCTATTACCTTTGTTTCAAAATCCATTTTTTCTTTTATAGAAGAAGAATCAAAAGCAAGGAGCAGGAAAAGACAACATTTGAAATTAAACATTAATTGCGATAAAGTATAAAGCCATTGAAAAAATCTCATATCATTTCGTGTCCTCTTCGTGTTTCTTCATACTCTTTCTTCCTTGCACAGTTTGGTCATAGCAAAACAATTCAAATTATTAAACTCTCTAACAATTTCGGTACGAATCCTACTGTATTATCTGAAAGTCCCTGAAAATGCCTTTGCTTTCGTGAAATCGCGTACATTATTTACAGAAGCGAATTACCACTCTTTTCAATCCCCCTATGTTGAGATTTTTATACAGAAAGAAATTTTGTTTTGAAGAATCCCAAACAAAAAGAGGTCGGTACGGCGGCGTACCTTTATCAATGTTGTAATGCCAGAGGAATGGTTGGACAGTCTTATGAATTTATGTTATAAGTGAAGCCAAAAAGTAATTGACAACGGTGGATGCCGGACAATATTTTCGCTCCTCGCAGATAAGAACTTTCAAACATTTATTGCTTACAAATTTTAGGGCACTCACAAATCGGCACTGGTGTAAAAAGAATGCACAAGTGCATCAAAAGTTGCCCGTAGCAACCGTAGCAGTGTAAACTGAGCCTGAGAGCTGGGGCTTAGGCACTGGGCTTAGGACATATACAAGTGGTGCCTGTTGTGCCACTTTTTAGCCCTTTCATCTTCTTTCGAAATAAATTGACTCATTCAGAGGATTTGTTGTTCTTGAATGGGTATTAGGCGGACGACCTATTGGAAACAACTACCCACGAACAATAGACTTCTCAAGGGGAAAGCTCCTTTTGAAATGGGACAGAAAACATTTTGTTGAAAACATTTCTATTCTATGTCATCATGCGCCCCATTGAACTCTACGTCCACGTACGTTTTTTTAAGTAATTCAATTAATCTTTTATTCTACCCTTTTTGTTGACTTGTTCTGTAAATATCGGTATCCCAGGGGGTCACATAAACGTTATTTTTACGGCTGTGTCCATCCGATAATTATGGGTAAGGTTTTTTCTTGTTATGTGAGACTTTGGGTACCTGATTTAACAATATACATTTTTGATACTTAAAAGTTCAGCCAACACATAACTAACAAATCAAAGAAGTGAATAAAATAGTGAGTACTCTCCATCAAATCTTAACCAATCGAATGCATCACTGCCTACTGGTGTGTAAATTAATAATTGTAGGGCACAGTCTAAATTACTGATAATAGAAGCTTCATCTGAGCAGCAACGTTTTGTACTTTGATACTTTTGGTCTCGTTAAACTTTTTAGCTGATGCTTTTTGGTCTGCTTCTAGGTGAATTTGATAATGTTGGACCCCCGTATGTGAAAAGTACAAGTGGCCCCGCTGGGATCGGTATAACCTAAGACTAGCCATATTTGGTCATCGCTAGACCTTGTGTACGTGTGACGACCCTTTTTGTAGTTCAGTTCAGTTGATTTTTGTAGCCGAACGTAGAAGGACTGGTGCAATAGTCGATTTGCTGTCGTCTTCTCAACTAGCAAGGAATAGAACTGGTACTTTTTCAAGGTGACTTTCTATTGCTATTTCTATCTGATGGAAATCAACTTAACAATTGGTAGGCAATCTATTTACTTGGGGTCCAAATATACGAAATTTCATATCAGATTGGGCTTATGTGGGTTTCAGTTATTGCCTCTTCAACTTTGAACCGCATGATTTCTGGATTAGATATTTTTTCCAATTTTAAAATGATTTTCGATGCCGTGGACCAGTTTTTGACGATATGATGAATTTACCACATTATATGCAATTATATTGAGCCTATCCAGATGACTGAGCCAATGTTTTGACTTTATTTCTTTGAAAAGTTGTGTAAAATTTGCAAAATACAGAACCTTGTTGTAGCACCAAAAATTTTTAGTTAGACTTAGTACGGAAATCACCGCAATGGCGCTGGCAAAAAAAAACCGAAAAAGATTATTCTACAAATAAGAATGAGTCTGTAAAGTTTCTTGAATATAAACTTTATATTTAAAAAAGAACTGCTTCAAAATTAAAGAGCTTCTTGCGGAGCTGTTCCTTTGTGCACGAGTTGACTGGCCACTCCCTAGACCAAACAATCACTTTTTATTGTATTTTGTACCCAATACGTGCAGAAAAAACATCGTGTACCATCTCACAAAGGACTGTTCTGCTTAGTTTGAATATAGTCATAGGAAAAAACTATGGTTTGAAGGCAATGTCGACTCATCCAGGGACTAGGGAGAACAATGGACAAGGGAAGAAAGGCTCTGCCTAAAGAGGCTTCTCCCGTCAATACACGCGGGGATATTTTGTAAAGGTTGGATGTCTCCCTGATACCGTATATCCTCGAATAAACCCCGCAGGCTTGTTGATTTATGCACTTTTCATATGAGGTATATTTGAGGTGTTGGCTTATTAAAGAAGTTTACTGTAAGGGTGGGGCTTATTCGAGTGAGACTTATACGACGGGGCCATTTTTAGGATTAATGGTACAAACCCAATTATCCTACCCCTAACATTGATGAAGCCTACAATCCTGGACAAAATGGTTGAGACAAAGTGTAGATTTAGAAATTTTCAATTTTAGGTTGCCTTTGTAAATTCAAATCCTTCCTTGCTCCTCGATTCATTGTTGGATTAGCAATTCTATCTTTTCTTTTGTGCTTCGAAAACATACATTCAACCAGGAATCAGGGGATTGGGGAGAATTTATTTTTCGAAGGAAAGAGAAAACATAAACTTTTCTTGAAAAGTCGAAACTATTTGAACATTTGTTAGGCATGTTGCAGCTCTGCATTTCCAGTTATAGTAAGCATAGCAAAATTCTAATTTATTTCGATGTTCATGCTCGTTGACTCCCAAGAAGGACATTGGCTCAAATAACCAAAGAAGGTACTTGTTCATTTGGGTAAGTGTGATTAATCTAATTGATTTGTTGATAATGTGATTGATAATGTGATTGATTTTTAATTGTATTTCCCAACTTTGCTTATGTTTATCTGCTCCATCCTTATCAACGTATAGAATATATATTTTTAAACACGTTTTGTTTTTCAGGTTACAAGATGAGTCTGTACGCTTCCATATGTTTGGCGATGGCTCTTTCGGCATCAGGTAGATTCAATTAATTATAAACATTTGTTGTTGATTATTCCCACTTCCTTAGTGATGATGTCAAAAATTGACAACGCAATATAAATTTTCATTTCAGACTCTAGTTTAATCTGTCCCCAAGAAAACTAAAGCCGTATATTGCGTCGGCTTGTGAAAAGTTGAATAATAGCTAAAGCAGGGGTGTAGCACTAGAGGGCTCAGGCAATGGTGGAAATTGTGGGTGGTTTAGGGGGGCAAGTGCCACCTTGGTTTTGTTAAATTGTCGGTTAGGACATGCTTTATTCTGTGAATTATTTTTTGTTGGCATTGCCCCCCCCCCCAACCTGAAAAATGATTTTCCGCCACTGGGCGCAGGGGGCTAAGCCTCACTTGTCAACGCCAACAATTACCCAATTTCTACCTTTGCTTTGTTTTAGCAGCATTTTTTATTGCAACATTTTTGTCTGCGACACGCAAAATGGTATTGTCTGCATATTTCACAATGCTTGAATACTCTAAGACTTGCACAGTCAGATTAGAAACAATTATGATTAGAAACAATAGAGGGCTAAGTATTGAGCCTTGACGAGCCCCTGTTGAAAAATCCTTCTTATCCGAAATGTCTACTAGAAAATGTCTTCAAAAAATATATGCTCGTATTTTTGTTCACTTTCAGTTTATGCTCTCGACTGCGATACAATTTGTAAACCAAATGCCCTCGAAATGAATTTTCGCGTGTGTGGAAGTGATGGCAAAACTTACGCCTCTGAGTGTGACCTAAAGAAAGCTGTTTGCAAATCTCGACAAACGGTTTCAATTGTATCTCCTGGTAAGCATGCCTTACTCTCCACATCTTATTTTTAAAAGCTTTTCTCCCATGCTTTAGTTCCATGCTTATAACAATTGTTACCAGCATAGTTAATATGTTACCACGAATGAATCAGGTTTTTCTTTAACTTTCTCTTCGAGATTTTTCATGACATTTAAGATATTTTGATTAAACACTAAGAGCATGTTCCAAAATGCAAAGATCTCATTAACGGACCCGTCGTTATTTAGGCAATTGCAAAAAGCAATTTTCAACTAACTGCGTATGCTTGAGAGACGGAAAAGATTTATAAAGTAGCAATGAATACAACATTGTTGACCAAAAGAGAAGAAGATGTTTCATGGAAATCACGCGAATAAAACATGTTTACACCGATGTTTGATATGTCTGGCAAGGGGTTTAGAACCATTTGTGTAACGAAGAATAACTTTTTTCATACCAGGAGCTTGTAAAGGCAAAGGGTGGGAAGCCTGTAAAACTAACATCTTTTGTGGTACAATAAAGGCTGGAATATGCGCCAGTGATGGAAAGCCGTATTACAACGAATGTGCCATGAGAAGGCATGCCTGTAAGGAGGGAAAAGCAAAAGTTGCAGTTCATGAAAGTAGCAGCATGACATGCTCAAAATCAAGGTATAGAGTTCTTGTTAGTGACGTCATCAAATATTTTTTATAACATTTTTCATTATTTTTAAGTTGAATCAAGAGAAAATGGTAAAATCTTTTGGAGTAGCATTCCACTCTGCCATTTGTGTCATGAAGATCTTCCACTTAGTTGCTATGCCATAAGGCTCTTTTCACCCGTACCAAATAGCCTCTTTGAATCTGTTACGCAATACATCTGATAAGGACAGGATAGAATGCTTGGCCTAAAATACTAGGCCTAAAAAGAGGCAACGATGGTTATAGGACAGGACAGTATGGGCGGCCTACCAAGAGCATTGTGGTAAAAAGCCAAAAAAATCCAGATTAGATATATCAAAAGTTGTCAGAACATTTTTGCAGTTTCTTTCTACGCAAGCATAAAAAATGCATGCTTAAAGTAAAATGAAGTTATTGCCCGATATTGCACTGTTCACTGATTATCATGACTAAAAATATTTGCTACTTTTCACCATCCTTTTTTTAAAAAAATAACCTTTTGAAAACCCCCTGGAAATGATGGAGCAGTGGGTCAAATGGGTAAACCACCAACCCCCTAGATTAAAGTCACTTCTCTGGTAGACAGTGTTTCTCAGCTTGGATTTGATGGATTTCACGCCCTTCTTGGAGTTCTAATAATATTTGTTCTTTCCTTATTTGGTAAAGTAGATATAGGTATAACCAATCAAGGCCTGACTGTCCTGGGAAGCAAGCGTTTTCTTTTTAAGATTAAAACCCAGCTTGTAACTTTGGTCGGTAATTTGATATACATTCTTCGCCAGTTACGTAGTCATCAACGGATATGCTTTCATTCTTTTCTGTGATACTTCTCCACCGTTGAAATACAGCCCGTGTTTGCTTCTGATGATCACATTTCGTCTCGTGTTGTTTTCATACTTTGAAAGATGTTGCCAACAGTGGCATAACGGAGGCACCTGGGAATCTAAGGAAAACACAGATGGGACCCTTTTTTAAGGACTGCAAGAAAGTCCTATCCAACGCTGCATAGCATGTCAAAAAGTAGCAGAACGTAAAAAAGAAAACTTTTTCTCGTTAACTAGGGAAGGCTTGATTTATAGAAGCTTCAGTTGACGAAATTTGAAAGTTTTTGAAATAAGATGAACTTGAGCGAAATCTTAAAAACCTGGATATAAATGAATACAAAGATCATATTGGGCACTTTTTGGTCAAGGCCCTTAGTTATCGAACAAAGGTGTCCTAAACTGCGTTACGCAACTGGTTGTTATATAATGGGTTCGTCAAATATACCCAGATGATATAGAAATATAAAAATCTTTTGGATTTATGATTAAGTTGAAAGCCACGTCTCATTAACTTTTAACAGATTTTACAATTAAGGAAAGTTTTTAAGCAATGATCATGAATATCTATTTGTTTCAGCTGTCCAACATGTGCAACGGAAGACAGCCCTGTTTGTGGAAGTGACCATAAGACGTATAGTTCGATATGCAAGCTACGAGCTACTGCCTGTCAGCAGGCAAAAGCAATAATTGTTCTGAAAAAAGGTCCTTGCGATGATAAGGATCGAGAAGGTAACACTGACAGCGAAGAATTCAATTTGGATGAAGCAGATGAAGCTGAGGAGGAGTTGTTTTACTAGAACGGATATTGAGCACCTCACAAAACGACTCTCCATTTTTATATCACCTTAACTTTAATATTTAAGCCATGATGCATATTTTGATACAAGTTATCTTTGATTAAGCGTCTGAAGAGCTGACATTGGATTTTCTTGCTTTTTTTAAAAAAATACGCTGTTCATTTATCTACATTTTCCCATTTCGAAGCTCATTGAGATTCGGCAGCAGGCAGGATAGAATTGATAAGGACACTATTGTTCGATAGAAATAAGAACAATAGGTATTGTTCGTTGTAAACAAAGGGTTGTTATAATGTTGAATTAACAAGAACATTAGCTATTAAGGGTATAATATGAAGACCGTTTTTATCATAATTATTTATAGGCAGTATACTTTCAAAATTTTGATTCTGAGAGGCTTGCCTTTTTTCATCTAAATTGTTGACCTTTCAATTTCTTCGGAATCACAGCCTGTTCCACCAATTTTTCTTTGGCAAACAGTTTATACTGCTTTGGTATTTTCATAGCCAAGGATAAGGCCTTGTCGATGTTTTTTGGAGCAGGAATATGAAAAAAGGCGAATGGTAGAGATTGCCCTTTGATACTGGGCCCATTAAATGGTTTCTAATTTTACTATATATTATCAAGAAAACCAAAAATTTATCGTTTTTGATATTCTTCAAAATCATACTCGATGCTCGTTTATCACCAACTATCTTCGAACTATTTTCTCTATTCTTCTGCAGGCATAAATTTCAGTTCTGATGAAGTTAAAACTAATACTCCCGTGCATTAGATTAGAAAATTCCCTCTAGGAAAGCAAGCCTCTTTAACAGTTGCTTTTTAGAAACAAAACAAAACACTAAATGCTGCTGCTATAGCAACAGGTTTTAGACTCATGCCTGACCCCCTGGGCATTTGACCCCCTTGACATTAGCCAGAACAGAGTCATGTTATTATGTAATATTTTATTGATACAAAAAATCTCACAGTTTGTTTCTAAAATCCGCGTATAGGTGCGTGACTCAATTTTTCGGTGTTTCTTTTTGAATCTTTGTTTGTGGAAAAAGTAAATGCTTGTGTTGAATTGCAGCTGGCATAAGCATTACCTGCCGTGTGGATTCTCTTGCATTGGTATGAATATTGAACAATAGAAACTCAATTTCATAAATGACTAGTTTTTCTGAATATTCGAAAAAGATAGTGAGACCGATTTAGTCCATAATGCTGTCTTCTGTGCAGATAATTAAAAATAAACATGCTTTATCAGCAATTCTCAGGTGATAAAGCGGTTTTTCATTGTTTGTAACCATGTTGATTATAACGCTATACTCAAAGCTCTGCCTGTATATTGATTAACAATAGGGGTTCCAAGAAGCTCTGCTTTGAGGAGAGATGATTTCCATTGAGAAGGATGCTTAAAGCAAATTTTACACCTAGCAAATGCCTATGACTTACTTTTGATTACGTAAAGAAAATTTCAAAATCACTGGATTACTTCACAAAAAATATGTCGCAATAATATTACACCTCCCCAAACATTTTCTCGTCGAATTTAGACGAATAACGAAACTGATCCTGCAGAGAACTATGGGACGTGCCCCCCCCCCAGTTCTCCCGGTGGCACCACTATTGTTATCGCCCTTTTGATTATTGTTATCGCATTGCTCCGAGTATAATCATTTGGTATATTACTAAGCCTCTTTTTATTCTCGATTAAATAGCTCTTATCTTATACATGTAGCTTTGTATCAGTACCACAGTAGGAAACATTTCACTACACCATCGTGCCCCGGTGTCCCCGGAAGTTGATGAGAAGCGGTAGATGGGAACAATAGTCCCTACGAAACATTTGCTAGAGAAAGGTGAGTTTACGATGATCTTTATTGCTACATATTTTGCAATGTTTTGAAATAGGTAATACGAAAACATGTGTTTGTGGTACAGAAAAAGTACTTTCACTGTCGGGTGCTGTCGTTTTCTATAGATGGCTGAATTTACTCTAATACTTTACGTTATTCGAATATCTAAACGCTTAGGGGCCTCAAGGTTCTTATTCTGTATTTTCTTATGCGGGCTCTAACAGCACGAATAAAACATTGCGTCTCACATGGACTTGGCCCATGGTTGAAAGTTGTCCCCAACTCTTTATGTTTTCCGTGCTCTAGGCCTGGGGGTTGATCAAGACAAAGTTGTTCTCAATAAAATATATACAGTTGATTTCAAGAGATTACCAGGTGCATGAATTGTACTATTTGTTGCCAGGCAACAAATGTACCATATTCTTTGGTGTATTATAGATATGCTAAGAGTTTCATGCATGAGAAATTGCCTTGCCTTGCCAGCTGCTGTCAAGAGAAGCAGTTGTCCAAGGCATAGGTCTTTTTATTTTAGAAATTCTGGTATTGATTGACAGAGTTTCAAATGAATGCTAGTCTTTTATTTGCCAGTAGAACCTGCATTGTTTACCCATTTCAAAGCAGTACATTTGTTGCATCTAGAAACACCTGGTTGACGTAACGAAACCTGACGGGCTTTCATATATGACGACTTCACGTTACGATCCGGCAGGTCAAGCGTAATAACAAACTATCTTCTCGCTGTAGATAAACTAAAGGAACAACACCTACAGGATAACCGAGAACTTTTCAAGAAGAGGTTTGGTCATTCAAGATAATTTCCCAACAGTTGCCCGGTTCAAAGGTAAGCTATGTTTATTCAACAAATACTGCTTTAAAACTTGGCTTCTAAAAAGCAAACACTTGACTGCCCTTTTCTAGAAATATGGGCAGCACTGGCTATGCTTAGATTAGAAATTCTAATACCAAACTTGGAATAAAGCGTTGAAATTTTTTCGCAGTATTGATAGTCACAGAAATTAACCGATGCAAAAATTTCGTATAATGGCATAGAACTTACATCAATTTGAAAATGCTATAAACGCACAGCTATTCGAGCATATCAAACAATTTAACCATTACGGGAAGACATTTTTGCAATCATGAATTTACTGCTAAAAATACACATGTTTGACACCAAGATATATGGCTTTGAAAAAAGCAAACATTTAGTAAACTAAAGCTTTTCGTCTGACACTCTTCAGAGTTTAAAACATCAGAACATAGACCGAAAACTCTACGCTAGTAAATATATATACCCAGTTGTGAATCGAAATAGGCCAATCAGAAACACGAGCACATGACTGTTTAGTTCCGTTGTATATTAATTTACGTGCCAGTGTGATGCTGGCTACGTAGGACGCACTACCCAAAGATTGGAGGATAGAATAAAACAACATGTTCTGCCTAGTATTAGAAACAAAACTCATCCCCAAAGAGAGCAGCCACCTCGGTCTTGCAAATCTAAAATTACAACTAAAACCTGCGATTCTGCTATCGGGAAGCATTTACGGAAAACCCAGATTGTGCAAAAAACTATAATGGCGACATGTTTCGGATTTCTGGTAAAGCCCGATCGTCGTTCCACCTAGCAGTTTTGGAATTTATCTACATAAGCACGAAAAAACCGCTACTGTGTAGACAAAAGGAGTTCGTTTTCACTTTAGGACTCCATTGGTAACATTCTTAATAGGCAAGCGGCACTGATTGGTCAACCTCAACAGTCATGTGCTTGTGTTTCTGATTGGCCTATTTCGATCCACAACTGGGTATATATATTTCCTAACGTAGAGTTTTCGGTCTATGTTCTGGCGTTTTATTCTCTGAAGAGTGTCAGACGAGAAGCTTTAGTTTACTAAATGTTTGCTTTTTTTCAAAGCCATTTTCAAGTTTTGTACTACCAAAAGATTGTTTACCAAGATATATTGTCTGTTATTGGCTGAAAAAAGGGGTTTTGAAAATTCAAAGAACCATATTCTACTCTTGTTGTAAGAAATATTATAGCAAGAAACAGTTTTTGTAGCTACTATGCAAAGCCGTTGTATTCGTTATCATTTGCTTTAGATAGTTTTTTCTCGAAAATTTAGTCTTGTCTTTGGGTGAGCTATTTGTCTCCTATGACATTAGTGTTAAGTAAAACGAGAAGGTCCACGTAGGACGATACCAGGAAAAGTCATCAACATAAAACGACATGATTGTCGCCAAGCAAGTTGTTCCTGCTTCCAGTTGAGCTCCAACCTCCTGTTACCATTTACCTCAATTTTGTCTTTCTTCCTTTTCTGCTTAAAAATATTTTGTAATGATTCCAATTATTCTTTGAAGCTCCTTATTGAGTAATAAGGAGAAGTCTCGATTGGTTTTTTTTCAAACGGAATTTCATTAAACATTTTCAGTACAACAATAAAACCAATAGAGTGATGTAGTTAGTTGACAAAATAAGAAACTGATCTAAATGTGTAAGTACCATGTCTCTAAAATTCTAACAGAAAACCCCTTTACCAAGCTAAACAAGGAGATTTCCCTGGACTCAAGAAGACTGAAACTGACCATCTCTTCTCAATAAACTAAATCCAAAAGGGAGGCGATAGTTTTTATGATGCTTATTGTCCGCCAAAATTCAACTTGCCCAAGCATTGTGATTTGCGTAAAATAATGATTGAATTATTTATGAAAAAGGGGCAAGCCTCACCAGTGCTCGACCGTCAAGGAGAAGAAAATTGCAATCGGTTTTACCCTCTACATGTACCACTGCTTTTCACCTTTGATTGTAAAGTGGTAAACCTGGGGCAGGAAAATCTCGTGGAAATCTCAAAATATCCAAAAGCTGCCTGACTTAGATGATACCTGCTGTGCAAATGCTGAAACATCTGCACACATTTTTAAAGAATGTAAGTCAATGCTGTTACCATCGAAAATGTTTCAATGATATTCGTCCCTTAAGAAGCTACTTTCAATGGTATGGCAAAAACCTTGTTAGGCTGATTAAGAATAGATAAAAAAGCAAATCATTGTCGAAAATAACACTGCAAAATAAAAAAAGAACATGCTTATAAAACTTAACAATGTTAATGTTAATCAGAAAATACTGTTCTTTCTAAGATCTCTTTTTATCGTAATTTCACAGAAGTCAGAACCTGTAACGACTCGCGCAGGATCGTACAACAAAGAAGGCTAGCAATCGAATAGTTTGATTGGGAAAATCACCAAGATGAGAGTCATGGCTACTTAGAATCGTTCAGAAATCATAAAATGTCCTAAGAAATAGAAGGTTCTGAAGTACGACAAAAGTGTCTGCAATAAGTTGTTTGCATCACTCAGTTTCTCTTTTCGATAATCAGGGGCGTAGCGTGCGAAGGGGGGAGGGGTGTAGGGGGTGTACACCCCCAACTTTCAGAGAACTCGTAGGTAGAATCAAATTTATAGCAAAATATTAATGTAACGAAAGAATTTCTGTCCGAAAGAATTATGGTTTTTGCATCTCTTACACCCACCCCCAGCGAGAATGGTCACGCGACACCACTATCGATAATACAGTCACTGGGTAGCATATTCTGAAGTTAATGCCATACATCGCTCCTTGTAACTGCCAACAAAACATGTCCCCGTGGCCTCTACAGAGCAGACAGGCTTTTCATCGCGGTATAACAATCGTAATTGCTTTCTGATGGGATCCTTTTGAAAGCAAAAACCTTATCTTGCTTCCATTATAGTTTATGGATTTTCCAAATATTAATTAATGGCTTCCCTCTCTAGACAGTAGAATGATCACTGCAATAATAATTTCTTTCTCTATCTTTATTATCATATAATAATAAGCAATTTTTCCTTTAATTTTTCTCTTGCTTTCTTCTCTCTAATTTTTTCTAATGTCTTTCTTTCTTCATTAGTAAAGAAGAATTATCTGAATTAGTAAAAGTCTTTGACATCTAATCGAGAGAAATTATTCTTTTCTCTTCGGTTGTCGGCACGTTCAAAGACATCATATGATCATTATTGAATTGATAAAACCAGAATGATTCTCAGAGAAATTTATATTTTCCTAATTCTCTTGCAAGTGTACAAATAAACTTCTCATCAAATGCACTTCCTACCAGGTGGCTAGTTTGCACCTGCTTGTGCGTACTAGAAACAGGCATTATCAAAGCTATTATATAAACATCCATCTTTAGTTTTCTGTATTGAGTTAGCTCATAACTTTTATTCGTTTCGATTGCTTTGCAACAAAACGCCCGCTGTTGCCGTTTGCAAATACGGCGAAGTGTTTGAAAAAGATATACTTCCAAAGTTCTTACAACACTTAACGCTAGTTTGTTGAGAAAGCTGTGTTAAAAAGGCATTTCTTGTTTCTCAAAGATTTGCTCATGCACGCTGACAAGTTGCATACGTTATATAACGCCTAAATCCTTCATCATTCTGTAGCCCAACGCGACATAGAAACAATAATGGGATAATACGAGTATTGCAGGTGTATCGTAGATGCTCTCGCTGACCACCTGGGTAACAGAGTCTCGTAAAGAATTTTCGATCACTGAAGCTCTAGTACGCAGGGTACTGTCCACCACGCCCTTTAAAAATCATAACAGTTTTTTGTCTGTTTATTTGCTCATAATTTGTATTGAAAGATATGTTTAGCACGCTGCATAATTAGCAGTGCTATTTTGCTGTCTCTCGATGTCACTAAAGGACAAGACATAATAGGAGTTAACTTTGTGGGGTGAAACAACAGGGGTGCAGAGCTAAAGGGCTCACGCAGCTTTCCTTGTAGGAGTGGCAGAAATTAGCCTTCTTTTCATTTAGCTATTGCTATTTGAGAAATATCTCGAATGGGCCCTCCTTTTCTTTTCTCTGCAATAAAACTAATTTTTTCCAAAAACGGTTGTAATAGTAGATTTTATAAAATTTGTGTGTTCTCTGCTCTTCACGTACCAAACCCGTTGATGTGACCAAGAAGAAGCAAGGAAAATTTGTAAAACTTAAAGAGAATGCTTTTGCTCGTCCTTTTGATAGAAAATGCTAATGATTTTCGTTATCTAGGGCAGCAATGAAGGAAAAAAATTAATGATTTTATTTACTAAATACCCAACCAAACTTTTTTAAATAAAAACATATAAAGTTACAAACAAATCAGACTGGAAAGGTGTATCAAAAGTTCTAATTTTAGGGCCCAAGCTTCTTCAATTCTAGACCCGTAAGATTAATAAGAGCTGATGACTTTTCTACTCTTTGTATATGCCAGTTAAAACCATTGGCCTGAGACTCTAGCATTAGCACTTTGCCTTCTTCACCTGAATCTAATTGGCTGTTACTTGCCACCCTGTTATTTCAAACTTGATGTCGGAAATTATTAGAGATGCTCTGTTACCATCTGGGGGCAAGAGAGTAGATTTTGTTCTAGGTGACTCTGCGCCTTTTGACATCAGCATCTTTTAATTTGCAAGGCAGTTGGTATGGCTTTACATAACACTGATTTATCTTTATTCGAATTAATTGAAAGATCGTAAATTTATCGCATTTGGATGCCCTTCACAAATTACGGGGCTTTTTCTCCTAATGATCCCTGGAGATAACTTTTTTGACAAGATACTCTATAAGCTAGGATTGCTGGGCGTTGGCGTACCCCGGGCTGCCGCAATGGGGGGGGGGGATTTTTTAACCATGCCCTTCAAACGCTCGCAAATGCGGGGAAGCGCCCTTTTTGCAAAATTTTTCCCCATTATTTGATTCATGTTAGCTACGGTGAATAGCAAAGTATTTTACAATTGATATTGACAGTATACTGTAGCATTTCAGACAAAGGACATTTGATTAGAAACGCCATTATTCTAGCATCATAATGCACTTGCATCCTTTCTGAAGCAGTTTACCTACACCCCCCCCCCCCTGACACTAGGCAGGTGAGCCTCACCGGTTAAGTTGAAGTGTGTTAGGGGTTTCACAACACCATTTGATAAAATTCCTTTTCAATAATCACCAAAATTTTCCATCTAGGTTTTCTTCATCTGCATATCTCAAAACCTTTCGGCAAATGAAAGACGGCTCAATAACTACTTTTGAAAATGGGACCTTATAACCATTCCCCCTTTGCGCAATAACTAGCGACGCCTGAGGGACATTTAACTCATGCAATTCGCGCACGAGATTTCCATAAAATCAAAATGATTTCCAGAAATTTCCAGATAAATAACAAGATTTCTACCAAAGGTATACGAGATTTTCCTGGAGTGATTTGCCCCTCGGAGATACCCCTTCCTGCTGCGAAATGCCCCTAAATTACCAGTATTTCTTTTCTGTAATCTGCATCTTAGACCTATAGATTGTATACCCTCATATAAGGTCATTCTCCCAGCAAAATGCACACTTGGGCTCATGTTGTGTTTTTACTCTCAAATGAAGACATGGCGCGGCTATGATAGACCATTTTACTTCGAAAATTGACACTCTACAAAAAGTTCTTAAGGAAAAGATCTTATGAAGAATGAGATTAACCAAACGTCGAGGAGACACGTGCTTTTGGTGTTGTTTTCGTGTTCCGAGTCTAAACGGGAGAGGGTCGTCTGTACCAATGACGTTTTCTATAGGCGTGGTTTCACGTATTTGATACTCCTCAAATCTTAGACATTTGCAAAGCTTAGAAAAAATCTTGCGTTGCTACATTCTATCCTGAAAAGTTGTATGTTTCCTGCCTATTTAAGCTTTTTGTAAATACTACATTCAACTCAATCAAGAAAGAGCGAGATTTTACAATGAAATTTTACAAGAGAACTTTATCATGGAAAGAACCGATATTTCACGGTTTCCATCAAACTGATAAGAAATTCTGAGTTGTTTTTCTGAGATTTGCTGAATTTTTCCTGAGATTGCGCCAAATCTCAAACAGAAGATCTTCTGAGATTTGCTAGTATTTTAGTGATGTCACTTGTGTTAAAAGATTTATTCAATCAGATTATGGATCTTGCTGCCTTGTGTGTTGCGTCAAAAACACCATATGTTTTACCACACCACAATCTCTCGCTAGATGATATTTCAAATTACAGCGCAAGAAAAGCGCTGCTTGAACTTCTCAATTACTTAGGCTAGTTTACTTAAATTATTCTCAATAACAAATATCTCAATTACTTTAGAGGCGTTTGAAGGATGCCTTGAGTTGATTTTTAGCAAAATCTGCAATCCTTTTTGAACTGGTTCTAACAGTTAATGAAAATTACTGTTTACCTGTCTGTCATAAGGTGCTCGATGCCGTATAGGCAGTGCTGTACACGTTGAGCAGTTACCTGATGATGGCATTTGCGTGAAACTACGTGCTGTAACTTAGAACCGTCCTGTTCAATACACCAAATATATATCATGTGCTAAAAATTATATGGGGAAAACATAGCAGGGAGTTGTAGTCGATGGTGGACTAAAGTTGGGGGAAACCGTGCGTCAAAATGTTTAGATTTGTAACACATTTTGCGAAAAACTCTTCTTTTCTGCTTGCTAAAAGTGTCAATTGACCCCTTATGCTGCCTAAAACATAGATTCAATATTTTTCCTCCTTTTTGTAGCACGTAGGCGGGTGAAACTTAATGTGGCGATTTTGTATTTCTGGTTTGATACTATTCCGTGAGATCTCCACAAGAGCCCAGTTTCTCCTCCTCATATTCCTGTACCTCTTTTCTCGACCCTTTTCAATGTGTACTTTGAACTAATGATGAACTGAAGCGATACTGTTTTATTTGCAGGCAAAGACACAATGGGGTGCACAAGTTCAATGCAGATAGATGACACCGCTGGCACGGAAACTGGATCGAAAACCATGTTTCCACTATCAATGTACCAGAAATCGTTGATTCAGGAGACTTGGGATACAGTTGAAAAGGACTTATTGATATTCGGAACAGGAATATTTCACAAGTGAGAATCGTTATTCAAAATGCTGTTTCCTAAGTTTTGTTGATTTAATCGAATTTGATTGTTCAGCCTTTTTCAATGCACTAACTAGCGCGAAGGGACGCATTTACTCATCAAGCACAAATGAAATTTTTGTTGTTAAGCAATTGACAAAATCTTGATCTTCCTTTTCAAAACAAAGACCCTGACCAGTAGTGGCTGAGGGAAGATCGGGCACCGCAGCACCTCATATGCACCCAAAAATATTGAGATAGCGATGAAATTTGTCAATGGATGGACCTTCTTACACTTACTAGGACAGATTTCTTTGTATGGGATCTGGATATCCTATTTTTCCAATATAGAATCCCTTATTAATCTTCTTAAAGTGCTAACGGTGAGCTTTTGCGATGTAGATATATAATTTTGGGAGGATAAGGTGATTCTTACCCTGAGTACCAGAGCCTCACGAATACGGGGATACAGTATTGTAGACTAGTACGGTGGAAATCCTCGCTCAAAAATATTTCTGTGACTTGTTTCGAACTATATTTTTGAGGCTAAATAATGGAGACTCTGGCACCCAGTGTAGATGACTCTAAACTGGAATAATGAACAAGGGTGAAACAACTAGCCAATGAACAGTGCAATGGACAGTGCAAAGGATGCAGTTTGAGCAGGAAGCTTATTTTCGTAGCCGTGCACTCCAGACCTGTTTATTTCTTAAGAAAAAACATTGGTGTAAGGCAAAGCCTTGAAATTCGTTTTCGGGAATCCATGGAAATCTGGCACATCTTTTGTTTTGGTAAAAATCGCTAATTACTAAGAAACGCTATTGATTGAATGCAAGATGTATCAATGATGCTTAATATTGCACTCTCTACCAGCTGCTGTCACAAGATACAGTGAATAATGACATCTTTTACGCACATACTTGTATATTCTCTAACACAGGCATATTTTCATACCTGATCACATTTCAGAAAAGCTCTTAAATTTGCAAAAGCTGGAGAACGTTGCCGAGCATGCTAACCTAAGTCAAGTTCAAAAACTAAGGTTAGGTACCTGGCTTGATTGTTGTGGAAAATTCTCTGTCTATTCGGCCGAAATGGGATTGTTCAGTCACGTGAAAAAACTGCACATGAAGGCACAATAACTTTGCGAAAAACATGGGTGTGGTTGGGTTTGGCGGGAAAAATCTACTGTTTCCGTGTATCTTACAAACCTTTTCGACGAAGGTAGCATTAACACTGCAGCTGGACGTGATTTTGATGATGCAACTTTCTGGCTTTATGCAGATGCAAAAAAAAACTAGAAGAAGCCAGCAAAACAGGGCTGGACTACTTGAGAAACGTTGCAAAGATCGACTTCTAAGGGGGAAAAAAGGCATCGAAATTTAATGCGAGGTTCCCTCTGCGCACTTTCATCAATTTCGTCCGAAATATAAATCCAGCAATATGCCACCTCAGCAATGTTGCCAAATTGCTAATTTTGTATTATTTTGCAAGAGCAAAGCACGATCGGCCTAACCAACTTAAAAAAGGCAATGTGGTGATAAAAGATCCTTAGTTAAGGCAACAACGATTAACACAAAACGCTTTGAAAAAAACATTTGCTTTTACTCGATAACGTCCACCGCAATGCCGTAGGAAGAATAGAATTGTGAGCACTATTGTTTGAAAACAGTGTGAAAAATTTCGTTTGGAGCCTTCCTTCCCCCTTAAATAAAAATATATAGATGCCACAACCATGCGCCACGATAGTGCCTCTACCCAATAACTGTTACTAACGCACATGCGTTTCAATTTCAGTACGCTTTCAAGGTGTCACATCTTTTCAAAGAGTGCCAAAACGCTTATTATACCGACATTTTGGGTAAAATTTCCTTTTTGGTCTCATATAAAGCCCAAAATAATTATGAAAAGGAAATAAAAACTTTCCCCAACATCGACAGCTTCAAATTCATTTCAGTTTCTACACGAATAGATGTGCTTCAAAAGACATATTTGGTTGCCTATTTGTAAACGGGGCTTCAAAGTGATGTCTCCGCTAAAATCTACTTTTAGAATTTTTTAAATTGGATTGCGTAGCCTGGAAGAGCTTTATGGAACACCTTCAAATATGAGTTCATATTGATCTAATAAGTTTCTGATAATGTCACACGTTGGTTTTCTATTGTTGCTGCAATATTTTGTCTCTTAGAACTTTAATCTAATCGTTTTCTCGAAACAATTTTGTTACATTTATTTTTTATTATCGTAGGCTTTTCAAAGCAAAGCCAGAGCTATTGTCAGTTTTTCCTGAATTCGGTTACCTCGAAAGCATTGACGAGATTCTGCAATTGCCAAGGTTGACGGGCCATCCAAAGAAAATCACTCAAGCCATACGAGAAGCCATCAAGTCTCTAGACGATGCTGAAAATTTCATGACGAAACTGGAAGCCCTTGGACAAAAACACGTGGAAAACAGCCTTCGACCAGATTATCTTCACGTGCGTCATAAATGTTTGCATACGTTGTACCTCTTTAATACCCCGTTTACACGAGAGTGAATCCGAACCGGATCGGATCCAAAAGAGTACGGATGGGCCTCGCGTTTACACGGGAACTGATGGATCCGTATACTTTTGGATCCGCTTTCCGAGCACTTTTAGGATCGCATTCAGAGGTGATCCCGTATGGATCAGGTCTTGTCTGATCCCGTGTAAACTGGTGGATCCGGTCCAGATCGGATCCGTGTACGTTATTTGTCGAACGTGAGACAGAATATTTTTCAATTCAAAGTAGTTTGAATTTGTAATCCGTGTATCGGATCCAAAAGAATCCGATCGGATCCAAAAGTATCCGATCTGGTCCAGGTCTCGTCTAAACATTCTAAATTAAATGTGCGAGTCTCTCATTAGGAATCATTGCTCTGTGCAAAAAACATAGCTCATGTAGACACTTTTGGTGAATAGAATAGGATGGTTCTCAGTTGATGTTCCAGGTTTCACGCCTAAAGCCGAAAACCCACTCCGGAAAATGATCCGCGGATCGGATCGGATCAGATATTGTGTTGCGCAAGCGCTTTGGATGCAAAAATGGTCAGATGACTGATACGCAACGGATCGAAACGGACCGAAAAAAGTTGAAATCATTTCACTTTTTTAGATCAGTGGTTTTTACCACTGCCCACAAAAAAATAAACGTGTAAAATGTGCTGAAAGATTACCTAAATTTTATTATGAAAATCGAATCTTTATAAATTTATGGAAAACTGCCGTTGAAGTCAGTAAAAAATTTCCCCAGTCATTAGTTACGACGGCCTGAAACTGTCCCTCTCAAAGCCTTATAATAATTAGGGGGGAGGGAGCACAGAAAAATTGGGGTTTTTAAACCTTAAAAGTGACTAAAAATGAATTTACCTTTATAGCCAATGTTAAAATCTTATCTTGTCGGCATTGATGCCTGTGTTACTGACGGAAAAAATCGCTAAATTCCACCGATACGTTGACTGCTACGGTGAACATCAGTAGATGTGAGCTTCTCATCGATCTTCAAGCCTTCAAAATGTAAAAAAAAGTACCTGAGCACAAAATAAATTGTGCAATTGTAGTTTTTTTAAGAGAAAGATGGGCTGCATTTTCTCCCAGTGGAATTCAAAGATTTGGAACCTATGCTAAAAAGCTGGACATTTTTAATGTATTAAAACCACATGATTGAGTTAAATTTCTACATGACCTGAGAGTCACAATGTAAAAATCAGCATCATATTAGGAGAATCAGAAGGATGTAGGCTTTGGTCTATCATTGTGGTAAAATTTTATCGGAATTTTCTCAACAATTCATGCATGTTGTCCCATGCCCCCATTTCTGAAGCCCCCAACTCCGTGCCAGGATGTCATTGTATATGACGAGATTCGAATCGCTGCATGAAAATTAGGTTGTTGACAATCCTAGTCCCTGGAATTACTTTTGCTTTAGTAGAAATCTCGCACGTTTTTTGCAAAATTGAATTTTCTCTAGTGACCTCCGGATATCTGGAGCTTTAAACTAGGCCTGCTTCTATGGCTTTTTAATTACAATTTCTGTCAGAAGTCCTTGGAACACCTTGAGACTTTCGTGAAGTTGCGTGTCCCATGTTATTTCCATGTCAACAACGAGCGTGTCCCCCCTTCCCCCTCATACAAAATTGATTTGCTAGCTAGAACCCATAGCTATGTAAAGCCATGGCCCATAGCTATGTATTGGGATTATTCGTAATTCCATGGCATGCATCGTCTGAGGGGAGAAGGGATGTTGCAGCACGTGCACCACATAAATTATATCAAGTGTTCCAAAACTTTTGGCAGGCATTGTACTTGGTCAAAAAAAGTGTTTATGAAACAAGATGTTTTCTATTCCAGGCCCTTGGGGATGCTTTTGTACAACAGGTACAAGAAATTTTGCGGGATGATTGCACGAAAGATGTGCAGAAAGCGTGGCGTGACTTTTACAATTTCATATGCAAGCTGATGAAACAGGGCCTTGCCAAGAAACAAATAGGCAAGGGTAAGGGTAACGTTGGTTGGTTTTAACTGTTATTACAAGTAAGTGACCTTTACGACTGCTTCTGATGTAACAGCAAAGTGAACAAATATAATGTGTGCAAGCGGAATATTGATGCTGACATTTGTGACAAACATACAAGAAAGCTAGAAAGGAGTATTGAATTATGCAAAGATATAGGCCACTTTTCATTGACGTCAATCAGTGATTTTACTTTCTGTAAGTGATTTTTATCGTTTTTTGCCAGTTGATAAGATCTTTGATGAAGTTGCAATCTGATAAAATTATTATCATGATTAATATATATTATCGCTCTTACTAATAAACACATTGCATTGGAGTTTAATCTTTCTGCTATCTGCATAATTAGCTCGTATCGAAAGAAGTTCTTTTCCCTTCAATGTTCGCAAATGTTTAAACATTTTATCTATGGCTTTTGATAACGCGACGAAATTGGCAAGCTTCATTTGCAAGGACTTAAGCGGCAAAAGCTTTAGCAAGGAGTTCAATGTTTCTGAAAGATGGAGGCTAAATAATTCACTGTTAGACACTAGACAGTAAAAATATAAGCTGCTTGAAACAAGTCATCGGTAGAGTCATTTCCAGCAAAAGTTGAACAGCTGTCATTTAGTTAGGCGGGTATCATAATGTAAGCATAATGAGGGCCTAAATTTGAGTCTAACAAACATCCCTGATGTCTTCTTTCGAAAACCTGCCATCATACCTCAGCCCCCTAATTAAAGTGTAAGAAAGGATGCTTAAAAATATGTGACAAATAAAGTAGAAATACGAACATTCATTGGAAGCCAGATTGCGAAGCTTGTTGCTCACACCGAATAACTTTGGTGCGCAGTTGAAGATTTGAATGCGCACTTCTTACTTGTTGATGGTTTTCAAAAAGCAAATTTAAATGCACATTTAAAGAATGTTAACTGGGATGATAGATAAGGGGAAATATTTAGTTTTAATTTTAAGAGTTAATTAATACTTAAACATCGTGGGATCGTTTGTGTGTAGTCTCAGAACTGTTAAAAGTAGATAAAAGTGGACAACAGAAGCTGACAAAGCTGCTGTTTTTGATGTGACTCACTTTGCCAATATTATGTAGCATATAAGCATTCGTTTGTAAATAGATTTTAATCAGCACTGGTTTATTGGTATGGCTTGTAGATCCTGTAACTGACGTAATAATACAATCGTGTATTGGAATATTTGTCTATAAGCACGTAGTGGATATATTCAAAGTATCTACCTGAATCATCTCCAATTCGGTTACGACAATTTCGTTACGACAGTTTCGATACGTGAACCTTCAAAGATTACGACTGGATTCAATCAGAGGCGCAAACTAGATAATTTTCTGAGGGATCCAGGAACATACCTACTCCTCAAAAAAATTCTAAGAAGATAAACGAAATTAAAATGTAAGAAAATAAGTTTGCGGGAGGGCCAAGAGATCCTGCCATGGGAATTATTCTAGTTTGGTACTGCGGTGATCATTTGGTACTGAGGAAGGAAAGCTTAGGACACCAGATAAGATAATATAATACCATTGTTTTGCTATACTTTTTCTTTTGGAGCAACTAAAAGATTGAGTCATGCATCTACCAAGAACAACAGTGCAAGTCTTTTGGTGTGAAGGACACAGATCAAAGACGCACCAAAAAAGTCTGTACTAGGGGTTTTATTGATCCTTAAAATATCATGAAGAAATAAAAGCAATTTTCTCCGGTTTATCTCCAAGAGTGCGATCCAACGAATAAACTACAACAAACTTCAATAGGAATATATCCAACAGCATCATGGATTGAAAACAGCAAGCGGGGAACATATGCTAAGTCAAATATTTAAAGCAACAAGTCAAATAAAAAGCAAGCACAAAACGAAAACAACACTACTTGTGGGTAAATGCCAAAAACTCACCATCAGTGATTTTTTCATAAACTGAAACATGCATTTGAACGCAAAAAGGAAAACATGAGTCGGATTCATGGTATGACAGTATCAGTCATCCCTAAAAAAAAAGTAAAAATAAGTCGGATTTATGGCCTGGTTTAAGTAGTTGTGTTAAATAGGTGGTATAAACGCATGGTCACTTAGATAAAAAATATCTTATATAATAGAATATATAATGAATTGTTATGTCCATTCTGTAACATAGAAATAGGACAGCATACTGTTAAGGAAGATACATAAACAAGAACTTATAAAGGAAAGTAATGGAAAAAATATCTGTAAGAGTTGTGGTATGTTATATGGATACGGTTACGAAATGGAATACATTGATTTTCTTATAAATAAATATTGGATGAAAAAGAAATCTATTTATCACAGGAACTAACGTTTGTATAACAAAATCGATCTTTTGATTAATGAAAATGGGTATCGAGTCTCGTTTATTAATGGAGAAAAAGTAATTAAAATTTTCGATGAGATTAATCGGATATTGCCACTTATTAATGAAAATAGAAAGAGAATGATTAACATAGATTTTATTTTCAAGAAGATTTTTAAAAGTTGAAAATATATGTTGAAAATATTCCTATATAAAAATCTAAAAAAACAATAGAGAATTATTAAAATTATTGGAATAAAATTATATCATTGATAGGAGATACAATCGAGTCAATAGTAAACAAATGATATGTTTTAATACTTATCATCATCATCAGTACCCTGGGTACCAGTGAGTCTGGTACCCAGGGTACATCATCAGGTACTATCTTCTATCAGAAGGTTGGCTACCATGACCCTCCAACTATCCCAAAATCTGAGTTTTGGTTTGTTGTCATGGTCATAGATAAAACCAAGGGGCTAATCGTAGAAATGGGCCCCCAGAACCACCTCTACAGTGTTGTTAATACTTATTACTGTTAAATATACTCCAACAAAAGCCAGTAATATGGCCAGGAAGAGGTGATTTCTTAAAGCATTCAGGAGAATTCTTCGTATCATAACAATAGCCCGGCCTTTTTTATATTTGGTATAAAAACGACCATAGATATCATAAATCGCGCTATGTACATGACAACATTTAAATTTTCCAAAAACGTTTTTCTAATACATGTGTGAGGCAACCATTGCCAGAACCAATCAAACCGATTTCTCCATCTTATTCTCGAAGTATTTCATCTACTGATATAGTCTCTTTGAATTCGTGAAAATATAGCATTTGATATATCATTGCACACTTTAGTATTTGATCAACAACATCCTCATTTAAGCTCTTAACATAGCGGAATGTTGTAGTTATTACAATGTCATATTTAGCGTTTTGTGGCTGACCATATTCCACAACTGTCTATTTCCTTCACCATTCCACTAACGTTTATATCCTGAATTGTGTAAGACGAGGAAGCTCTACGTGTAAAAAGTTGTTATCAAATATCTAAAAATAGTAAACAGTATTCAAAAGTTTTAAACCAAGTCCGTTCTCCTTGGAGCAAAATCCACGAGAAGCATTTCAGAATCCAGTTTTTCTAGGATTGGATTGCTTTAGCATTTTAGTTTCTATTTTATCGAGAATGTCTCAAGAATGTGAAGGCCTTTTCTATACAAGTCCCAAAACGAGAGGAAAGTGTTGAACATTCTGTATAGATATACAGGAGTGTCTTCTGCGAGCGAAGGGAGCATAAATTGTTTGCGACGACGCCCTTGAAATTAGCTTAAAATACATTTTAGAATATTCCTCCCTCCCCCGCTACGCTACTGATAAAAAGATAATCACTGAAAACAAAATAAATAAAGTAAAATCTTGGCGTTGTTTTATTAATACTGACTACCAACAAATGATTTTTACCAAATGAAACAATCTTTACCAAAGAAACACAGAAATATTGGGGGAGGGGGTGTCACACCCCTTACACCCCCCGCTAAATCCATCCCTGATGATTGTATTGTAAAAACAAGTCAGAATAGAGTCTGTTTTGCAAACCATTACCTGATTTTTAGGCGTTGTTTGTGGTGGTACTCTAGGAGGAAAAGGAGGAGGTATTGTATATATCATCGATCTATTTTGGAGGTTCCTCCAGTTAAGGCTTTTACAATCCTGGGTATGTCAACACTAGTTAAGAGCGTTCCAAGAAACCCTCCCCGTTGTTTAGGTGATGGTTTGATTGTAAGCTTTCCACCTGATTGAAGAGCTTGTATAATCTGTTATTTTTGTTTTTCGTAAGTACGTTTCTATGTTCATCCAATTTATCTATTTTGTTTTGTGGAATCAAGAATTCTATATGGGTCTAGCCTTTTGAATTCTTTTTATCTGTATTTTGGTGAGGAAGAGCTCGCCAGCGCCACTGAATTCATCAACTGGTAGCCGTATTGTAATAGCTGACTTATTCATCAATGCTCTAGCGAGCTTTGCTTTTTTATTTTCACCAAGAGTCAAAACATACACCACATCTAATTTATTCAGTCATATATAATTACGTTAGATGAAATTAAAATATGTATGTTTTAAGTTCTTCATCACCTCCTCTCCGCATCGAGGCTCGCTGTGCATGCACAGCTCATTACGTTCTGACTAGAGATGTATTCCTATTGGCTATTCCAGCTCGCTCTTGACAGCTATAAATCAAGAAAGGAGTTTATCAACCCCAACACGCCCATTCCCATCAGCTTTTACCGAGCGCCAGTTTCAACTCACTAACTTATAGCATTAGATTCAACTAGACGATAAAATGGATGCAACGCAAGAAGCGCAAACTTCGACCGAAAGCAAACCAAACAAGACTTCTTCCGGGACCAAAAAAAGTTTGTTTCGCAAACACAGTTCGACGATCTACAGTCAACAGTTTCGGAAATGAGGAGTGAGATGGCTTCGTTAATGACACTGATTAAAGATACATTTAGTCCACCAAACAAGAAAGTTTGTGTTGACGACGGCAGTCAGTCTGCCAGCCACACAAGCCTTTTGCCAAACGAGAATCAGTTTCTCGACCAAACAACTAGCAATCAGTTTGCTATGCCTTCCCTCGGAGATCAGTTCCAGTTTCGGAGACTATGAAAAAACAACCAGAGCATCTAAATGTAGTTTAATCGTTTCAGAGTTCCTCAAGATCGTCTTCTGAATCACTGCACACGACACTCTAAGCGTAAAGCTCTTTTTCACTCTGACAATAGAATCCTCACTCAACCTAATCATAATCTATCTACTAGTAAGCCCAATTGAAGCAAAGCTAGCTCAGTCGGTGACAGGTCGTTCCTTCGTGACTTTCACTCTGTTTTGCCGGGAGTGCAGTTATTTGCTGAAAAACCAGGCTTCCTTTTTAGGACGCAATTTATGATTCCGTATTTCGATAGAGTATGCCCAATTTAGTATTTTAGCCGATTTTGGTCACAAAACTTCATAGTTACTCGCTATTTTAACTCCTTCAAAATTGACAAACAAGTCTCTTCGCAAACCCTACTACAATTCTTTGGTTCCTATAAGAAAACTATTTTGACCTGCCTGTTCTCAATTTGAACTGCCTTTTTAGATAAGTTGCAAATTCTTTGGGTGATAGTCTTTGTGTAGCCCACTTGTTTTGCAATTTCATCATATGAATGGTCTGCCTGGCGCGGCTTAAAAACTTTATGACCATTTGCTTAGCTTCATCCATATTTTGTGCTTTTACCAGTGCCCAAAGAGAAACATTTTTGCACTTTTGAGAAAAATTTTCCAAGTAATCTTTCTCCATACAACACTTTTGATTGTTTATATATTTATTTTGCTTATTTCCTGAAACAATCGTTTTATTTTCCCGCCAAAATTTGATCTTACTTTTTCCTAACATGGCATTTGTAAAAATTTAGCCCAAAATTTTGCCCGACCTTTCGAAATCTTTTGGGAGGGGAGTGTATACCTTTTGCTACGGTATTGATCACGAGGGGCCCTTAAAACACAAAGGTGAAACAGTTTCAATAGTTTTTTCATCAGATCATCGGGCAACAATGTTGGACGGCCAGCTTTTTTCTGTTCATTTGCTGTAACTTCACTACCATTATTCTTCTTTTTGCATTCTAAGTATGCTTTTTTGAAATCACTTACAGTTTGCCTTTTGATGCTGGGAAACTGTGGAGAAAACTTCACAATTGCTGCTGTGTTACCATTTAGAGCGCCATATTGGCTTATTTCTGCTCGTTGCTGTGGTGACCACGTGCAGTATTTTTTACGCTTCCTCCCTTTTTGTTCACTGTTGGGCTCGAGCTGTTTTTGTTCACGTTCTCAGACAGTTAAACCAAGATGATTTATTTCACCCGTTTTTTTCGATAACGAAACTTCAGGGATGTTGGTTTTTCTTTCAAAATAGTTTAGCAAGGACATCTTAAAAATTTTTTCATCGCAACAGTTGTGTTACAACAGAGAATGTTGAAAGTTTGACTGCACTGGACTCCACATGCTTCCTGAACATTACAATGTAAGGGTTTCCCTTGAAAAAGACAGCAGGAGGAATCACCGCTTCTCACCCGTAATGAAAATACTGGCATGATATCAAATATTCTTTCGTTGGGGATTCGCTTTATGTTTTTAATCGTATTCACTATGGAGAGTATCATAGTGCACACAATCGCAAGTAGAGGGTGGCATGTATAAGAAAGACATTTTGGCAAAAAACTTTCAAAGGGCAGAAAGTGTTTGCAGTGAAGGAAGAAAACTTTGAAATCCGATCCATATGCTTTTGCTTGGAAAATAAGGTGCCATGACAAAGTTGTGCCGCGCCGCAAATAGTTGGCCATGTTCCACGCGAAATATCAAGACCTATATATTACTTTTTGAAACAAGGAGGTGAAGCTTTTGGGAAAGAGGCAGTTTAAAAATATCGACCCTTTCCTATGCCAAAAGGTGGTCTTGACATAGCTTTGACTGTCACCTGCGAGATAGCAGCCAACGAGCAAGAGATTCTACAAAGATTAGATTCCTTGATAAAAGAAAATCACAACGAATCTTTTATCGAATGTTTTGACTCAAGTGACAAATAAAGTAGAGAAGAATATGGTAACAATGACATTGATTTTTTGGTTGACGATTAGAACGATGATGTTATTTGTTTAGATTGATATTTCTAACTTCAAAATTCAACTGTTTTTCAACTGTTTTTGCTGTTTGTTTCGAAATTGCGCATGCGCACTCCATACAAAAATCTTCGGCGTGACAAATTTTCGGACCGCCCTAAATTTCGGACAAATAAATTTTGGACAAATCTTTGCACGAAAGTTTGTCACGCCAAAAATTTTTGCACTTAATGTAGTAGGCGAAAGTTGACAAATTCAGCAATAAACAATTTTGATGGTTGCACTCATTTTTTCACAAGAAACTGGCTATAAGAAACGAGTACTGGACAATCAGAAAAATTTAAGAAACTTCAGTACTCGAAGCATAAAAATTAAAAAATTATTAAATCGCTATCCTAGAAATTAAGACACAGGGGATAAAAATATACTTCCCACGACTAAATACAGCGTCAGAACGGAAGCGAATCTCTTGCCGTGAAAAAACGGTCACGAACATTTCATAACATCATTCATGACATCATAATTAAGAGACTCTTAAGAAACAGTGAGTATTGAAATTTCCAGAACATTAAGAAACTGGAGTACTCAACATCGACCTTTGTTTTTTATAAAAGATAAGTATTATTGTAAAAAAATGGTTCAACATTAAAGCATATCAAACTGCCAATATCTTTCATTTCTATGCTGGTATCATGTGGTGAACTGGACCTCTCTTGTAATTTCTTGGTAGTGCTAACGAGTAGAACACGCTAGACAAGTTGACTAAAATAATTGTAGAAACTTCTAGAGTTAGCCTTACGTAAGATGCTGTAACTTGCTTATTCAAGATTGTATTCCTCCACATGTGATATTGTACGAGTATATTCTAGAAATTTCTTGTTGAAGAGTATATAATGGTAAAGTAGCTTGCTGTAGGCATTCAAGTTTTAGTTGAGGATCTGTTATGTGAAATTCGATGGATACATAAACACGACGCATTGTTGACTTCTTTGGAGAATAACTTTACGGGCCTAAGCTGGAAAATGTATCTTATCATAGCGTTGAAAGAGACGCACTTTGTTTGTGAATCTATTCAGTGTGTCACAGAGAATAAACATTTGCACCAACGCTGCCTTGGATTCCCCACAATCACAACTTGCAGTGATATTATTAGAATACGCTTTTGGGGCCTGGGATCTAGTGAAAATCTAAAAATAGCACTTGGGAGCATTCCTCAGCTGGGGTCTGCATCCTATCTTTTTGATTATATCAAACTGTCAATCTCTCCCAATTTTCATGCTGGTATCACAACTTGCAGTGATATTATTAGAATAAATGCTTTCGGGGCCTGGGACTGAGTACAACAGTCTAAAAATAACATTTGGGAGCATTTCTCAGCTGGGGTCTGCATCCTATCTTTTTGATTAAATCAAACTGTCAATCTCTCCCGATTTTCATGCTGGTATCACAACTTGCAGTGATATTATTAGAATAAATGCTTTCGGGGCCTGGGACTGAGTACAACAGTCTAAAAATAACATTTGGGAGCATTTCTCAGCTGGGGTCTGCATCCTATCT